TATTTGCCTGTCTAAAACACCCGATTTGTCTTATAAACAGCTGTATGGCCAATAGCAAGGCAGGAGCAAGGATAGGCAGGGATGGCAGGCAAAGAGAATAAATAGGAGAAATCTGGAAAGAGGAGGAAGGAGCAAGAGAGAACAAGGAGAGGAGGATGTCAGGGGCCAGCCACGAAGATAGCCATGGAACAGGAGTGAAAGTCAGATATACAGAAGTAAGACAAGGAAAAAATCCCAGAGGCAAAAGGTGGTTGGGATAACTTAAGAAAAGCTGGCAAGAAACAAGCCAAGCCAAGGCCGGGCATTTATAAGAAATATTAAGCCTCCATGTGATTGCTTGTTTTCTTGTGGTGAACTTGACCCCTCTGGCTTCTACAATCCTTCCTCCCCCCCACCCTTCTGCAGGATTCCCCAAGCTCTCCCTAATGTTTGGCTGTGGGTCTCTGCATCTGTTTCCATCAGTTAATGGATGAAGCCTCTCTGACGACACTGGGCTAGGCACCAATGAGTGTAGCAGAATATCGCTAGGCATCATTAAATTGACTTTTTTTTTTTTATGGTCAGTCATGTTTGGTTCTATCCTAGGTCTCTGGGCTATGCAGCCTCTGAGTCCCGGTGCTCCAGGCAGTGTTAGATGCGGGCTTCCTCTTCTGGCGTGGATCTCAGGCTGGACCAGTCATTGGCTGGCCACTCCCACAATTTCTGTGCTACCCTTACCCCAGCACATCCAGTAGGCAGGACAAATTGTAGGAAAAATATTATGTTGCTGGGTTGATGTCCCAATCCCTCTACTGGAAGTCCCGCCTAGTCACAGGAGATGGCCAGTTCAGGTTGTTTATTCCCTATTGCTAGGAGTCGTAGCTAGGGTCCACCCTTGTAGATTTCTGGGATTTTCCATTGCACTAGGTTGTTTGGTTCTTTGGTGGGGGGGTGTTTGTTTCTGTTTTTCTGAGACAGGGTTTCTCTGTAGCTTTGGGATCTGTCCTGGACCTCATTCTGTAGACCAGGCTGGCCTTGAACTCATAGAGATCCTCCTGTCTCTACTTCCCGAGTGCTGGTATTAAAGGAGTGCACCGCCAAGGCCTGGCTCCCATTGCACTAGGTTTCTACCTCACCTAAAATGCCCCCCTCTTCCAGTGGTCTCTTCCAGTGCTCTCCACCTCCATCTCCTTTCCATTTAATCCCATCTGTTCCCATCCCCACCTGCCCCCAATCCACCTGCAAAATCTCTTCTCTTTCCCCTTCCCAGGGAGATTCAAGCAGTCCCCCTTGGGCCCTCCTTGTTACTTTAGCCTCTTTGGGTCTGTGGGTAGTAGCATGGTTCTCCTTTACTTTATAGCTATTATCCACTTATGAGTATATACTATGATTGTCTTTCTGTGTCTAGGTTACCTCTCTTTATTTTTTTCTTGTTCCATTCATTTGCCTGCAAATTTCATGATGTCATTGTTTTTAACAGCTGCCTTGGTTTACTTGGGTGAGGAATGGAGCTGTCATTCTCACTAAGCTGTACGAGGTGTTTCTGGGGCAGCTGTACTGGATAAAGAGCTTACTCCTGTGAGTGCTGGCAGCATTCAGTTCTTGCTGGCTGTCAGCTGTGGGCTGCTGTTCCTTTCCCCATACAGCAGCTGGAGACATGGTAGCTGCTTTGTTAGACTAAGCAGGGAACCATTGGGCAGTGCCCTAAAAATGCAACCTAATTTTAGAATTGTGAGAAGGTATGGGGTGGTCCTTGAATGCAGTGACTGGTGCCCTTGTGAGATGAGGGACACAGAAACACATACATGGTAATATAATGATGGATGCAGAGACTGAAAAGATACATTGACAATTCAAGGGACATCTGGATTGCTGGCAGTCACCAAGAGCTTAAGCCCAGTGCTTCTCCTGAAGAGCCTGCAATAGCCCTTGGAAACTAGTTGCAGCCAAACCCCAGACGCAGCACCCATCACATGTGCCATATTCTCATGGTTAGAAGGCAGTCAGCAGGCCCAGGTCAGAGCTATGAACAATGGGCGGCAGGGGCACCCTTGGGAGCCTTAGAAGTCAAAGTGTCCAAGTCCATATACAACACCATTTCCTTACTTTCCTGTGGACATCTGGATGACGGGACTATTGACAGAATATCCTTGGAGTATATCCTCTAGTGAACATTTGCAAGTCTCTCTAGGATATAAAGATAAAGTCACTGAGTTGAGGGTTTATACTTTTTTCCAGATTGCTCTCCAAGTGGTGGTTAACAATCCAGTTTCCACTAGTGATGTGAGGAGTTTGTTTTTTCTTATTCTCCTATTTACTGTGGTCAGTTCTAAAACACGCTAACCCCAAAGGCCTTTGTGATATGTAGCCATTTTCCAGATATTCTGGGGTGCGAACACTTTATGTCTTCTGAGTGTCATCTCCAAATCAGGCTATGTTCTCCAGCCTCATTTATATCTCTCCTAGAATTTATAATTTTTATGGATAGTTCTTTTGGATTTTGCAAGCTTTGGTAAAATGTTAAGACTTTCTAGGTTTTAATGTCAGGCAGTGTCTTTACACAGATCTCCAGCGTTCTGCACACACTATTCACACACACGCTTCCTCTATTACCCTTTTCAGCTTAGGTCCCCACCCTACCCCGGGTCTTCTAATGGTTGTCACTCCTGGTTTATCCTTTCTCTCCTCAGTCATTCTGAGTTCTGTCCTGACAACTTCCCCAAGCTTTCCTGGTGAGTATCAAGGACAATAATCTATCTTTACCTCTACCATTTAGCTTACCTTTTGTGCCTGCTTTCCTCCATTGCTGGTTGTCACTGCTACAACCCTACACCACCACCCCTGTTCTCTCTCTCTCTCTCTCTCTCTTTCTCTCTCTCTCTCTCTCTCACACACACTCACTCATTCACTATGATCCTTTTCTTCTACATTTGCTCCCTTACTAGATCTGACCTCTAAAGAGCATCTTTTGCATCTTCACAGGGGCTCTACTGAGCTGTGTCTGCATGTCTGAAGTTACCCATGCTCACTTTTGGCAGCTGAGACCCCCAGTGGTGGTCTCTAGTTCCTTGCAAGGGATCCATCTTTTCTCTCCTTGAGTGCCATGTTCTGCGGTTCTGCGTGTGGATTTGTCTTAGGCATTGCTGTAGTTTGGGGTCTCTTAAAAAGCCACATCTTAAACGTTTAGTTCCCAGTGGGAAGTGGTAGAGACTTTAGAGTGGGGTTCTTCTGGCTTGGAGGGGCATGCTCCAAAAGAACATGATAGGACTCTCTTCTCCTTCCTCATCCAGTTCTCCATCCAATGTGTTACCGATGCCCAGGAGTGGACAGAAACCTCAGTAACAGTGACACTTAGGAGCACGGCACTCCGTCTCTGCATCTTAGCCTTTGTGGAACTGCAGTTGTCTCTGCTGCCTTTGCATTTGTTTTCTCTCTTTAGTTCACTCTTCTTTTGTTGTGGCCAGTCTTCCATGAGACCAATACATAGACTTTTGCTTGTTTCCCAGACTCTAGAACAATGGTTCTCAACCTGTGGGTCTCGACCCCTTTAGGGGTCATATATCAGATATCCTCCATATCAGATTTTACATTACGATTCATAGCACAATTATAGTCATGAAGAAGCAACAAAAATAATTTTATGGTTGTGGTCACCACAACACGAAGAACTGTATCAAAGGGTTGCAGTATTGGGAAGTCTGAGAACCACTGGGCTAGAATGTCTCATGCGGATCTTTTCAGATCTGTTCTTTTAAAAAATACTATGTTTACTTTGTAATTCTTATTGCTTCTTTTAGCTCTTCAAAAATGTTAGGATTGCTCATCTTGAAGTCTCATTCTCACTGTTCTGTCAGCAGCGTTTGTGGTGAGAATCTGTTGCCTCTCAGCCCATGGCAGTGGAAGCTGCTTGGCCCACAGTTATCTTCATACAGGATAAAGACCTGTTGTCCTCCATGAGGACTCAGCGATCAAACTGAAGAACTGTCCACAGGCCCCTGGAGAGTTGTTAAGTTGCTGGTTTGTTCTATGAAATAAATGCCTATTCCTAATTTAGAAAGATTAGTCAATAGCAAAGAAATGACATCAAATGACTTCTTAAAAACAAATAGTTTAATTTCATCCAGAAAAAAAAATACAAGTTTAAAGATGGCAATGACATGTCAGAGTGTTGGTTTCATCTTACAGTATTATGCTCATTAAAAACATGAAGAGATATTGCCTTATACATTTCTAGAATCAAATATCCCATGTTAGTTATAAAATATCAACCACTAAATATCCTGGTGTGCTTTGTTTTTATAGGGCATATTTTATAGAAATGGTATAAAATAAGGCAGGCTCTTAGAAATTCAATTATAAAATTTTAGGAAAAAATGGTCACATCCACATTTTTCTCCAACATCTCCAGAGATCACAGCTACTGCTTAGAACCAGGTCTGCAGATGTGGCCTCTCTGTTGCAAGCTAGAGTAAGACCCATCAGCAAAAAGCCTTCTCCACTGACATCAATGAAAAGAGTTCAACATTGTGCTACACTGTGCTAAATTGTATCATTTTATATTTAAAATCTGCATTATGAAAATAAGTCTATGCACCAAGTCATAAATTTGGTTGTGGCATCTGAAGGTGGCTTTGGCTTTGAAGTATTTTTAAATTCATAGAAAATGTCAAACTTCTAATAAAATAAATAAAACATTTAATAATTGGAATAATCAACCTTAAGTTTATCTCATTTGCTCATGGATTTGAGACACAAGTCACTTCCAGTAGTGTTTCAAAACGAGCAGCTGTGCCTCCTGAGACTGGTGACAAGTCACCAAGGCTGCTCTGCAGGGCTCCCAGGCTGACACAAACCAGAGTTCTTAGGTGCCTTACTAAGGAGCCTTACGGCAAGTGCGTGCTATGGCAGCAGATGGTGCCACAGAAAGTTGACATCCCCCTGTCTGTTCACAGGCTCTGCAGATGAGGGGATAGTTCTGCCTAGCATTGAAAGACCTAAGAAACTGCAGAAGCCAGCAAGGACAGCACCTCAGGCCAGATGTGCACCCCACACTATTCCGGAGGAGGGCGGAGGCTGCGCAGCTTCTGTTCATCCAGGGCTTTCCAGTACTTGAAGTTGTCGTCTAGGTGCTGCATAAGGTCAGGTAGGTCAACAAAGGCTGGAGAGAGAGATGGGGATGTATTGTCTTCACACAGCCTTTCTTTTTGGGTTTGGGCTTCCTTATTCTCTTTCTTGGGCCTTCCACCACAGAGCTACACCCTGGCCCCAGCATTTTAAGAAGGACCAAGGGAGTCAGTGTTATGCCAGACTCTGGGGAGAGTGAACTAGAGGGAAACCTGTTCTCAGCCCCCTGAACTGCAGGCATCAGCTCTCCATCCCCTCCCTTGGCTGCAGCCCTCAGAGCACAGGGAGCTGGGGACATCCTTGAGATCCTCTTCTGGATACCTCTTATTTGACAGGCTCTTTACCCTCCAGGATGGCTTCTTTCTCTCTTCCACCTTGGCAGTCTAAGTCCCAGGTGCTACTTACCATCTAACTAGCAAGGTAAGGAAGGCCCTAGGTTCCTTACCGTCCCAGGCATCAAACATGTCTGTGATGAAGTAGTCAATGAAAGAGATCTGAGACTTGGGAATGCTGCAGGTGTTTCTGTCAAAAACTGGCATCGCCACAGGCAAGCTCAGCTGTTTCTCTTCATCAGTCTGCAAAGCAGAACACCCCATGATCTCAGAACCCACCCTGCCACAGAGCAGTCCCACAGGCTGAGAGCCCATGTAGCACTAGCCAAGCAAACAAGATCTGCCAGACACCATGCTGTTCTCGGAGTAAGGACATCCCAGACCAACCCAAGCATTTTCAATAGCAGGAAGGAACCCCCCCCCCCATGCTCCCCACAATGTCCTGCAGGTAAGAGTCCAGGGTGTAGCTAGCACTTGCCTCCGCTGGAACTGTCACTATCCACAAATATCCAACATGCCCACACTGGTGCCATAAGAAATGAGCAAGAAACACAGCTCCCTGTCCCAGGGGCTACTTCTCAGCTATGGCTGTGTTGTCTAGCTGGGAAGACTATGAATAGACCTAATAACTAGTAAGGAGGTGGCATCGATCCTAAAAACCTCCCAGCAGAGAAAAGACTGCGGCAAATGCTACACCTGTAAATTTAAAACTGAAGTTTAGAATATCAATCTTTCCTAAACTCTTCAAGATTAAAAAAAAAATCCAAGAGAACATTTCTAGTTCATCCTAGAGAGCCAACACACTCTAATAAAAGACACAGACTCAAGTAGAGGGCAGGGGGGTCAGTGTCAGATAACAGGGAGGTCAGCAGTAGGCTATGGTGGCACACTGTGTATAGGTCAATCACTCAGAAAGCAGGAAGATTTTAAGTGTAATGCCAGCCTATAATGTTAATATGATGGGGAAATAAATCGTGTTGTAACTATTGACACAGAGTCTGCTCTTCTGGTCAGCATAGTGGCAGCAGCACTTTCTGCAGCTTTGCTGATATCTGCTCCACACTGTCATCAGCATTAGATGTTGTCAAGTGTTCTGGGTATGTGTGTGTTTGTGTTGTTTTAAGTCAGAAGCTCATATATAGTTCAGGCTACAATGGCACTCAATAGCAGCTGCTGAATTCCTAATCCTCCTGCCTCCAACTCCCAAGTGCTGGGATTCCATTTGTATACGACCACACCTGGCCTCGGTATTTTCAATTTAAACCTTTCTACTGGTATTGCTAGAATTTCGCTGTGGCTTTCATTTGAATTTCTCTGATGATGTAAGGTATTTTTTCATGTAATTATCAGCAATTCATACTATCTTTTGTGAGATGGCTATTGAAATATTATTTCTAACTAGGTGGCTTGTCTTACTATTGTAATGTAACCTGGGTACATACAGTCCTTTGTCAGAAATGACTTCTATTTTCTCCCAGCTTTAACGAAGTCTAATGTATATTTTCTTTTTTCCATGGCTGTTGCTTTCTGTACCTAAAAGTCTTTGTCCATTTCAAAGTCACTGGGGATATTCTGCAGCAGTTTTCTTTAGTGCCATGGTTTGGCTTTTCTAGTTAGGCTAATGAGGCCACTGTGAATTGACATATCTGTGCTCTTTTCAATGCCAATCAGAAAATCTTGGGAGAACACCCCTTCTAATATGTTAAAATGGGATGTTCTTTAAGTTCTAGCAATGGTTTATGAGGTTGTCTGGCCATCTATCCGTAAATTTATTTCTAAGTAAGTTTTTGCTTTTTATTACTATTTTAACCAGCATTGTTTTAAGTTTCATTTTTTGGTTGTTAGTATGTAAAATACAACTTGACTTTTATATATGGAGCTTATTGTCCTATATGATCTCACTAATAAAATCTAATAATTCAGTAATGTTATGTGTCTTGGGAATTTACACACATACATTATCTGCAAATTTTAAGAAGTGTTATTGTTGAGGAATATTATTTTAAGGTTTGTGACCTCTGTTTATGCTGCATTTATTTAACTCTGTGAAGCTGTGTTACTGTGCCTGTTTAAAACACCTGGTGCTCCTAATAAAGAGATGAACAGCCAATAGTGAGGCAGGAGCAAGGATAGGCGGGCCTGGCAGGCAGAGAATAGTATAAATGGAGGACTGAGGCAAGAGAACACAAGGAGAGGAGGACTTCAGGAGCCAGCCACTCAGTAATCCATGGAGAAAGTAAGATTTACAGAAGTAAGAGAACAGGAAAAGCTCAGAGGCAAAAAGGTACACAGGATAATTTAAGATAAGTAAAGCAAGCTAGATACAAGACAAGCTAAGGCTGGATATTTCAAAAATAAGCCTCCGTGTGTGATGCATTTGGGAGCTGGGTGACGGTTCCTGTGACAAATGGATGCTGAGTTTGGTCTAGCCTTTTCTGTAACTGGAGCAACAGCTCTAAGACTCTCCTCTATTATTGCAGGACTCTGGTGAATCACTAAAATAAGTGACCAGCCCTGCACGTCTGGGAACAGGCCTACTAGGTGATGGATGACACAACCCTCTACACTGTTGGACTCCGCTTCTCTACACTCATGGTCTTGAGAAACAGACCGTGGTGTCCCGTGGCACTGCCTTTGTCAGGCATTGACAATGGGTAAGAACTGCCTCCTTTCCCTTCTCATAAAATCTGTTTAAGGCTGGCTTGTTTCTGCCACACATGTTCAAATCCCCTCTGTCTTTATCTTAAGCTGCAGACTGTAGGTGGCTGATTCTGCTGATAGTTAGTGCATACACTCTATGATTATGGATCCCTTTCTCTTTAGGAAATGTGTGGTGATATTTTGTTTCCAATCTAATAAAGCCTGCTCAAAGATCAGAATGCAGAGCTAGCCACAGCCATAGAGGCCAGGCAGTGGTGGTGCACGCCTCTAATCCCAGCACTAGACAGGAGCTCAGGGTATTCATTCGGCCTTCAGTCTCTAGCCACACACTGAGGACAGGATTGCCTCCCTTTTGGTCTTAGCCTTGGTAGATGTAAGAAAGCTTTAGTGGCTTTGCTTTTCTAATCTTCAGCTTTAACCCCAATATCTGTCTCTGGGTTTTTATTATTTTTACATCAGAAATGTCCTACTTCTGGAAGTTGCCTGTCTTGATATCTTTTGTCTGAATTGATAAGGCTGTTAATCTTACATTTATAATTTTCACACTTGAATGGGTCCACCATCTTTCTGTTCTTTATATTTACTCTCTTTTCTAGTCTGCCCATAGTTGAGCTTTTTGTTCTTATTTTGCTTGGTTTTGGAGGCAGGGGTCAATCCTCCCGTCTCAGCCTCCCACGTGCTGAGATTACTGGCATGTATCACCATGCCCCGCCTCATCTGTTCTGAGGAATGTTCTTTTAGTGGGAGTGTTTACCTTACAATATTTAATGAAATTGAACTGAATGTTGCTGTTACGATTAGGTAGAACTACCATTTGCATTTACTTCCCATTCCCCCACCTTCTTGGTATAGACAGGCCTGTCCTATCAAGCTATGACTGTGGAATGACAACCTGAATTCTCAGTGTTTAACTCAACAGTGTCAACCCTGCCACACTTCATATAAATGCAGATGTAAGGCCATTCATTCCTTCTATATCCTTTTTCTATCATATTACTTAGAGTGTCGACCCAACGATCCAATGTGAGAACCTTTGCTTAAAATAATCCTAGGTCTTAATACAGAGAAATTTAGAGAATAAAAAAGTTTTATACAGCTACCCAGGAATCTACCATTTTTTTTTGATACTTTTCTTACATCCTGAAGAGTCAAGTTTGTCCCTGTGATCACTTCCTTTCTCCTTTTTTTTTTTTTTCCCCAAGATGGGCTTCTCTGTAGCTTTTGCAGCCTGTCCCGAAACTCACTCTGTAGACCAGGCTGGTCTCAAACTCACACAGATCCTGAGTGCTAGGACAAATGGCATGTGTCACTACCACCCAGCTTTCCTTTCTACTTTAAGAACTTCTTTTAGTATTTCTTACATTGTGGATTTACTAGTGATGAATTGTACTAGTTTCCCCTTTTCTGAGAATTAGTTTATCTCATCCTGATCCTTGAAGGCTATTTCACTAGATACAGAGTTCTGGGTCAACAGTTTTCTTCTATAAACAGCTTAAACATGATGTCTCAGTGTCTTCTGGCCTCAAATGTAGCCCTGTCTGGCCCAGAGCTCTCTAAGGTTAGACTACTGAACTCCCAGAGATCTATCTGCCTGCCTCTGCCTCCTAACAGCATGGGTCAAAGGTGTGCACTACAATGCAGACCCTTGTTATATGCCAAGCAAAGCTCTGCTACTGGAATGCCCTCACCCTCACTGGGCTGTTTTAATCTGTGTGCATACATCTTATTTAAAACAAATACTTTAGCAGTTTATTTTCCTTCTGTCCCAGGATGATGTGAGACCATTGCTTTTAGGAGAAACCTGCCAACCCAGGGTTCCAAATCCAGCAAAGATATCCAAAGAGTGAAGACAAAGTAAATGAAGACAAAGATAAAGAACACAATTTGTCAAAATAAATGTACAAAATAAGAAAAGTTCTTTAAAGATGGAATCTATTTCAGAGTTCTCTTTCCTAGTTTTAAGTCCATAGCCTTATGGTGTTCCCCCATTCTAAGCGTGAGTGTGTGCGTGCACGCACGCATGTTTGTGTAAAGACTTAAGATATAGCATCTTACCTGTGAAAAATACTCTTCTGAAATTCGTGCAGCCCACTCGATGCAGTACTCTAAGGGCCGGCAGGGGTTGGACACATCTGCACACTTAATCATTATTCGTTTGATAAGGGCCCGGTTCTCTGGAGTCCTGAGCATAGTGTTCATGACTTCCTGATTATTGCCAGTTTCCTGAACCACCAGAGAAATCAAAGCAATCAAAATGGTGTCTTCAGGCCCACCACCTAACCTTGGGTTCTGTGAGCCAGGAAGGGCTGTTGCTGGGATCTACAGTGCTGAAGGCGTCACACAGCAGGGCACTGAGCACCTTTCTTTCTACAAGGAGGAAGCTCAGCAGGGCTCATCAGCACTGGGGACTGGAAAACCTGCCCTTCTTTTCTCTCTATCTCTCTCTCTCACCTTTCCACCAGCCCAGTCTTCACCGACAGACCCTCATACTGCCTTAGTATCTGATATACAAAGGACACAATGACCTTTTCTTTGGATCTGTATTCACAAAGACTCTGGGGTCTGAGGAACATATAATTAGAAACAAGGGCAAGGGTCAGGGTGAGGTGACTTGTCCAGAGCATCCCTGCTGAGCCTCAGCTTCCTATTCTACAGTGTCCTCTGCCTTGAGGTCTGCCGTCCTCTTTCTATGGCCAAGGTATTAACAGGAACTCCCACCTGCTCCACACCAGGCAGCTCCTGCCTAGCCAGGTATCAGTGTGTCACCCTTGCTAGGTAGCTGTGGACTGCATATCCCAAGTCCAGAAATGAGGGGTAACGATACCGTTGGTGATCCCAGCAGAGGACCCTTCCCAGCCCTTCTCTGCAAGGACAGCTGCTGCTACCACGGAATGCACCCACTGCAGAGCGGCTGCTAAGTGCCCTCTAGGAGTCAGGTGTAGTGGTGCACACCTTTGATCCCAGCATTTGAGGGGCAGAGATATGCAGATCTCTGTGAGACTGAGTCCAGCCTGGTCTACTTATTGAATTTCAGGCCAGCCAGGGGCTACATGGTTAGAGCCTGGTTATAAAAAAAAAAAAAAAAAAAAAAAAAAAAAAAAAAAAAAAAAAAGCCCTCTAGGGCTCCAACTGACCATAGAATGTTCAAAATGGGAGAAAACATTTTGAGACGGACACAGGAATGGCCAATGCAAAAATGTGTTTACAAGTCTATTTGCATGTTCTATCACATGCTCTCCTGATAGATATTTGCACGTTAAATGATTAAAAAAAAAACAAACAATGAAAAACAAAATTCAACCAAGTGTCACGGCTCACTCCTGTAATCCCAGCACCTGAGACAGAGAGAGGTAGGAGAGTCACTGAGTTCTAGGCCATTCCTGGACTACAGAGTGAAGGCCTGTCTCTAGATACATAGGCAGGCAGGGAAAGGAAAAGGGGAAAGGAAAGGAAGAAATCAAACGAAAGAGAGGAAGAAAAATGGAAAACCAAATTCAACATGTCCCCCAAAGGCCCTGCTAGGTCTGAGTTCATGGCACTGGTGAGTAGGACGCCCAGATGAAGGGCTTCAGGATAAGTTTCACCTCATTTCCTTGTTCTTCCAAGGGTTTTCTGATGCTGTTGATAAATTTGTTGACATGTTCGAAGTGCTTTGTCATCTCTGTGGCCAGGACCATGTCGATAATACCCTGGCGTAGTGTCCGGTAGTCATTCCTGTTTTAGACGACAGAGAGGCGGCTACGTGTCACTGATTCAGAGTAGTGGCTATATTCAGTTTGTACAAATAATCTTGTACATACATTTGTATGTATGTATGTACAAATAATCTTGTACATACATTTGTATGTATGTACATAAGTTTGTACATACATTCCCAGGATGTATGTCCCTTGCTGCTATCAGTCTAGTTCCACTGGGAGACACCCTTGCCTACATCACCAAACAGTCAGGATGCAATAGCTGTGAATCACATTGACAGCTATGTAGTACAATGCACATCGTTCTCAGGATAGAATAGGTTGTAGCAGGGATAAACGAAGACCTTTCCCCATCTTTCCCCCTCCTCTCTAAAGACAGTCTAGTTGTGTAGTCCAGGATGGCCTCAAACCCATGACCTTCTTGTATCAGCCTTTTAAGGCTGGGATTACAGACCTGTGCCACTACTCCAAGCAAGACTATTCTCTTTATACCTACAACCTCCACATTCATTAACAATGTGCCTTGCATGGAGGTACCTTGAGACCCAGAGAACTTCTGATAGCCCTTCCATTAACCCTAGTTTGCAAGCCATGAGTGTTGGTAGATGCTAGGCACCAGCCCCCACGGGGTCTCCTTGAGTTGCTTGTCAGCCAATAATTAGAGGTACATCCTGTTTTCTAGTCCTGGATTACAGCCCCAGCCATACCCCACTGCCATAAAAAACACAAGCGCTTATACCTGGGGTTTTTCCACCGTGCTGTATGTCTGTACATAAGGCTGCTCCCTCCCTGGAAAAAAGACAGGCACGCACACACATTCTCCTAGCACAAATGACCGAACGTCTCTGCTTTTAACTAAATCTCCAGGCTTTCACCCGATACTCAAACTTAGTCATGGCACGTGTGCTGCAAGTGGAGGTTCCATTAGACCTAGTCGTGGCGTGGGAGCCACAATGAGCACTGTTCCAACATGACCTCTGTTTCAGTTCCTGCTGCCAAGTTCCTACCCTGATTTCTCTCAGTGATGGACTATTACCTGGAAGTGTAAGATGAAATAAACCTTTCCTCCTCAAGTTGCCTTTGGTCATGGGTTTTTATCGCAGCACTAGAAACCCCAGGTCTTATGTATTCTCTGTAAATTATATACTTACAGTCGTATGTGAGTAAAACTTATATTAAGCCACCTCTGAAAGTCTAAGACATGACACAATGTCTTAGAAATCAGGATATTCTTTTTTTTTAAAAAAAAAAACTTTATATAAAATTTTCCTTCAAAATCCAAATTATTTCTCATGACTTTTTTTTTTCCTCTTTGAGCTCTACTATGTATTAGGCACTGGGATAGACACAAATAGGAAACTGATGAACAAAAGACACGTGACTCTGACCTGAGCTGGGGGAGTGGTGAATGCAGGCCTACAATCCTGTAGGACTGCCACAGGAGGACTTCAAGTTTAAGGCCAGCCCAGCCCACGTATCGAGACACTGTCTCCAAACATCTAGCTGGACATTTAAACACTCAGTTTTCGTTGGCTGGGAATAGAGCCCAGAGCCTTGTACATGCTGGCAAGTATGTACCACTGAGCCATGCCACTTTTTAAAACCTATTTTTTTATAAATGTGACAAGTGCTAAAGAAGTTGTGACTGAAAAATTTTGAATTTCACTTAGCATGAGAACCAGAGAAAATGCTTCCCCAGGGTAGTGACTTGTAAACAGACAATGGCAAAAAGTGTGCTATGTACAGAAGGTGAAGAGGAGTGTGCCAGGCAGGTCAACCTGGGCAACTCAGCAAGCTCCTGTTTCAGTGGGAGAGCTCTCTTGCTCAGCATGCTCACCGCCTCAGTTCATCCCCAGCATGGGGCGCAAGGTGGACCAGCCCTGGGGGCTGAGGAGAGTCTGATCATGGGTTTGAGGGTGGTGTGGGTAGTGTACTTGTTTTCAGTATCCATGGTGGGGACAGTGGAAGTGATCGATGACTACACCTGCAGTCATGGTGACTAACATCTCAGCAACAGTCTGTTCTCACCTCTCCAAGTTTTTAAAGATATTGCATTTGTCATTTTCAAGGGTCAGCCGGAAGCCCAGTGCTGCGTGGTGGCTCTCCAACACAGCAAGGTCATTGTACAGCACAGCCAGCTCATTCCCTGAGTTGCAGAGGAACAAGTTGGTTCTCCCAGGGTGATCCACATCGTGAATCGCGGCAGCAATGAGGGCGGCGACCTCGTCAATCCGATCTAAAGTTTCCTGAAAACAAGAACTCTTTTGAAAACCAGTGTGTATGACACCAAAACAAGCATTCAACAGAGGCTTCTATCTGCCTTTTCACTTTTTTTTTTTTCTTTTTTGAGACAGGGTTTCTCTGTGTAGCTTTGGAGCCTATCCTGGCACTCGCTCTGGAGACCAGGCTGGCCTTGAACTTCCAGAGATCCGCCTGCCTCTGCCTCCCGAGTGCTGGGATTAAAGGTGTGTGCCACCAACGTCTGGCTGCCTTTTCACTTTAAAGTAAGGGTTTTCTCTGATTTCTGAGAAAACCACATTGTCTGAGAAAATCTTGTTTCCTTTCTCTGCTCTGCAGCAGTGGTCACGGCTGCTGGAGAGCACTCCCTGACTGCCAGCTGCGTGCAAAGCACAGGTGGTGTGCTGTCAGGCTTTCTCCAGACCCGCCACAAAAAAAGCCCAGAGCTTGGGGTTTCTGACTTAGTAATACTGTGTAAGTCCAAATAAAAAAGTAACTTCAAAAGTAAATACTACTTATATGAATTGGGATCTCGCCCACTTTTCCACTCCTTTTTGGTGCGTTTTTAGCTGACACAAGGTTCTTGTGAATTTTGGCAAAATGATCTGGAATTTTTCCACCTCTTCCAGGGTCCTAAAAAGGTTTATGTAGTTAAAAATGATTCTCATAGGTTTGACTCCTTCCTGTTCTTATTAATTTAGAGGCAGTAGCTCTCCATGTAAGTAAGGCTAGCCTTGAACCCTTGATCTAACCTCAGCTTCCTCAGGCTGGGATTACAGGTATATATCACTAGCCCAGCTTTTATCAATTTGTATACATTTTTCAAAAAAAGAAACCATCAGCTTTTACATTTTTGTTAATATAGGTTTGTGAAGTACTTTTTTCTACCATTTCCTTTTTCAAATTTATATGTTTTCCTTATTTCTGTTTTGATACTTGATTGTCTTAATTCCAAAGGCCGATGTGGATATTATTGGCTCCCCACTCCCTCACAATGTAGCCAAGGATAGCCTTGAATTTCTCGTGGTTCTTCTCAAGAGCTAGGACTACAGGAATATACTGCTATGCCCAGCTTTCCTGTGTGCATGCACACACGTGTACACAGATGCACATACATGTGACTGAGTATGAACACATGAACGTGCACATGCATGTGGAGGCCAAAGGCAACTTCAGATGTTGTTTGTCAACAACTGTTTACTGGGGCTGGAGAGATGCCCGGTGGTTAGGCTGCTCTTCCAGAGGATGTAGGGTTAATTCCCAGCACCCACATGGCAGCTCACAACTGTCTGTGACTCCAGTTCCTGGGGATCTAACACCCTCACCCAGACATGAATCCTTTAAAAAAAAAAAAGATTATTTATCTGCTCTTTCAGGACACATCTCTCTCACTGGGACCTGGGGCTCGATGGTTAGACTGGCTGGCTAGTGAGCCCTGGATTCCGCCTATATCTGCCTCACCAGTGCTGGCATTACAAGCACAGAACACACCACCATGCCCCCCTTTTCCTGTGGGTGCCAAGTGCTTCCCTGGCTATCTCCCTAGACCACATCATTCTTTAGGTTTTTCATTTTATTCATTCAAGCACACGACTTCCCAAATGTGAGCTGAACACAGAAGACACAATGAACATGACACACTGAATGGGGAGAGGCCATGAGGCCTCAACCCTACACAAAGCACTACAGGCAACAGAGGAAAGCTGGAAGTCAGAGAGGCGGGCTGCCCCAGGGGAGAGCACAGCAATCAGTTGCCCACTGCCAGTGATCAGCCCTGAAAACACACAAATACGTTTATATGGACTTCACAAGCAGTATTTAGAGATATGTTTATACATATGCATGCAATAAAAATTGATGGAAAAAGAGGCCATGAATTTGAAGGAGAGCAAGGAGATGTATAAGGGAAGGCTTGGAGGGAGATAAGGGAAGGGAGAAATGTTGTCATCTTAAAACATAAATAAAATAAAAGCTGGAGCTGGGCATGGTGGCGCATGCCTTTAATTCCAGTACCTGAGAAGCAGAGGCAGGTAAATCTGAGTTTGAAGCCAGATCTATGTAATGAGACTGTGTCTTAAAAGAAATCATTTTGGGCTGGAAAGATGGCTCAGTGGTTAAGAACACTGGCTACTCTTTCAGAGGTCCTGTGTTCAATTCCCAGCACCCACATCGTGGCTCACAACCATGTATAGTGGGATCTGATGCCCTCTTCTGGCATAAAGTCATACATATAGATAGAATACTCATAAAATAATTAAAAAGATATTCGGGGGCAGGCAAGACCGCTCAGCATGTAAAAGTACTGGCCATCAAGCCTGACAACCTGAGTTTGATTCCAGAGACCCAGTGGTGGAGAGAGTGAACTTCACAACTTGTCCTCTGACTTCCAAGTACAAGCTGTGGTGGACATGCGTGTTCTCATGTGTGCACACACACATACACACAGACTAGTGCACATGAGGATTCTGTAAAAAAGGATTACATTTGGAAGTATTCTATAAATGTGAAAATAAGGTATATATCTAATAAGCTTGTCTTATAAATTAATTTCAATTTAAAATTATAGTTTTTCATGCTCACTTTGGCAGCACAAATACTAAAATTGGAACAATACAGAGTACATTAACATGGCCCTGCGCAAGGATGACATACAAATTCAAGAAGCATTCCATATTTTTTCTAAATATGAAGTTGTACTTCATGAAATTTTATACCTGTATTGCGTAAAAAAAATAAAATAAAATTCTTTAGTTTTTCACTTTAGCTAGGGACACTCTAGGGTGTGGATTTCAATAAATACTTTGACTATCATTTTAAGCAAGGTCTGGCTGTGTGTGTATACCAGCAACCCCAGCATTTGGGAGCTAGAGACAGGAGGGTAAGGTATTCTAGACCAGCCTTGACTACACAAGACCCTGTCTCAGAACTATCTATATTGTTTTAGGCTAGCTCTGAATATATCTGTTCAAAAGCAACACACCCCAGCAGATTGCCCTTTAGATGCTAAGACTCTCCCTGACCACTTGTCTCTCTGGATTCTTACCCACCTATGGACTTGGTCTTGATCTTTCAAATATCAGAACCGGACTAGAGGTTAGCTCTCTCACTTCCCAGCACTCAGCCCAGGGTTTGCTGTGACCTGAACAGTTGGCCTGTATGTCTCAGGCACAGGGTGGGGGTGTAATGAAAGGGGACTTCATCACAGGGGTGTATCTGAAGAGCTTCCAACACCAGCCATAGAGTGTGAAGCTGAGTCTCTGTGGGAGAAGGAAGCTGCTCATGGTGGTCACAGTCAGATGGCAGCACTGTGAGAATGCTCCAGAGGGGCCAGGGGAGAGGAGTGATGGGGACCTCATCGGGTGGGGAAATGAGAAGGAGGTCTATCTGAGGTCAGATGGTCAGACAGGAAGGGGCTGAGAGTGAGGTGGTAATGGACTCGGGCTCACGGCACAGGTGAGCATCCTAAAGAGGTTCAGATTGAAACCTCCTCTCCTCCAAAAGAACAGGCCTGCTCTGTTTGGTAGCTTTCTCCCCAGGACTTCATGTTGCTTCTTACCCTCTCATGGCACAGCTGAGCCTGTACATTAATCTACCAATCGGCTTCCTCTGTGTGCCAAGGTGCATACAGGCGAGGACTGAGTGGTTCTATTACCACACAGTGAAGGCAACGGAAGCAGAAGCTAGACTCACCCTACAGTTGCTGTTAAAGGCAGAACACAAACATTCCTTACCTTTATTTTGTTTCTGGAAAGAAAATAGGCAGTGGCATGAAGCACATCCGCAGCGTGTGTGGAATTATGGTAGGGGTTAGAAGAATGATAATTGGTTTCAATAATCTGAAACCACAATCTCAGCGTTGCCTCCGAGCATTTTAAGAATTCACAGATTCCAAAACGAGCAAATGTTTTGAGACCTAAATAAATCAAAGGCCTACAAAGAAAAATATCCACGATATAAAACAAAGCTGGGAAGAGATTCAGGACCAACAAGCAAAACCAAGTCAAACTGCAAAGTGCCCAGGGAAGCCAGTTGGCACTTTAGGGCAGCATTCCATGTGGGAGGGGGGCAACACAACAGTTTCTGCCTTAGCCTTCTTTGGGCATCCTCATTTGCTGGGTGAAGTTTTCCACCCTGCTTGCATCAGTAGAATCTTCAGAACCATCTCTATATGCTACCTGTAATCCTACTCTCATATGTTATTACTGATGTCCTGTAAAATAACCACTGTGACTATAAACTGGACACAGCCACCTATCAGGTGACTGATCACCTCAACTATCTGGAGGTAGGTGTTACAGTCTAAAGGAGTTTACCACGAGAAGGTAACCAGCGGCCAGCAAGTAAGGTCCTTCCTTAGATTGGCACTTTGATTTACTGCCTTGGCTTGGAAGGTTAAGAAATCTGTCCCATGGAAGCCATCTCAGAGATCATTATAGGATTCAACCTGGCCAGACTTAACACAGTTTCCATAGCTGTTATGGTTCTGGTATGTAAACTAGGAGCTCAGAGACTCTTTGTCATGGGGGATGCCAATCCACTCTGCTTGACTATGTGAAGTGGAAGTCTCAGTGTAGACAGCTCACCCAGTGAGCTGAGACCAGGTGAGTCATCCCACAGCTTAGCAGAGCCATCTCTCCCCAAACCAGACCACACTCCTGGATGGCATTGGCTGTGGATGTCCAGTCCTATGTGCCAAGACCCCTGTGGTTAGCAGCTTTTGCTCGGCAAAACCCAAATTCCTACTCTGCAACCATAAGCCAATGAACATAACTAGGGTGGAATGTCCTTGTGTGGGCCACCAACATGGCAACTAAGATCTGAGGCTAGTTTTATCAAATGTGTAACTATTTGTTCTAGGCTTTGGGGCAGGGGACTCTTTGTTGCTACCTAATAGTATCACATACTGGAGAAATAATTAGGAACCACACACTGGAGAAATTAGGAAATTTCTATAGAAAACGGCTATCTGAGGAAGCCATCACAGCTAGGCAAACTGCCTGTGGCCCAAAGACTCAGGGCAACTTGAAGTCCCACTACTCCTTCCTCAGCCTTTGCCCTCAGCCAAGGAACAGCTCTGCACATACCAATGCTGCTTGGGTGGCTCCCTGTCCAGGCCCTGGGAAACCAGCTCAACGCACCTATTTTGGGTAGCTGCTTCCAGCTCAAAAATGTCAAAGTCCCATTGTTCTTCGTCTTCTATGGCCAGGGCAATCCGTGGTGGGATGTCATGAAGGGAGACAGGGATGGGAATACTGGTTGAAGACGGCTGAAGGTCTGCAAGGTGATGTAATTTGGAAAGCAACATTAGTAGGTTCGTGGCACCTGGTGTTTGGGGTGGGGCAGTGCTACATTAGAAATGCCTGCTTTGTTTCTGAGGCTTTGAGGCATACCCAGAACTTACTGATGAGAACAATCGTTTCCATCATTTAACCTGGACTGCAGTGTTACAGTGATCTAGGAGGTTAAAAAACAGAGAACTTACTTTTTGTTGCAAGGGCATACTCATTTCCTGAAAACCTTCGTAAGCCATCCTGGTGAAAATCAGGGAAACAAGAGAAAGCACGGTTACAGCTCTTCTTTCCACCTTAGATAAACTAGGTGGTCAGCTGCAGAGGCAGCCCACAGCAAGGCTGCCCCAGTCCAGCAGGCTGACCACTGTGGCCAACCCCAAATTCAGTCACTTCCTGGGTGCTGGGCTCTTTTCCTGGAATCTAAACTTGGGCAAGGTTGACACCAATGAGATGACCAGCATGCCTGCCCCATTCCAGGACTAACTAATGCTCTAGTGACAATCCCCCTCCACCCTCTCCAAATTCGGCTGTCTCTGGGACACTTCTCACCTTTTTGGGGGAGGGGGATTTTGAGACAGGGTTTCTCTTTGTAGCTCTGACTACAAAGATCTCACAGAGATCTGCCTGCCTCTGCTGGGATCAAAGGCATGTGCCACCACCCAGCCTTTCTCACCTTCTAAGTGGGTTCCTCTCCTTGCTCCCTGAGTACCAGACCAGCATCCTCTATGCTCCAGTACCACAATCTCTCTCATCCACTCCCACTCCACCCCATCCTCCCCATGCTCACCCTTGACCTACAGGCCACAGTTAGAGGTTACCACTGGGAATCACCCTACCTTCTAGAATTTACTGTCCAAATCTTACTTTTTTGAAATCAGATAGTGGGAATTGGGAAGGAGTAAATTTTATTTCTAAGACAGCTGGCAGAACACAGGTATGGTTTGCCTTTCTTGTGGGAGCTCTACTCTGGATGGGTTGCAGTGGTTGGTGTCCAGGGCTCCTCAGGAGTCTGAGAGACACACCCATAAGGCCTTCTTTCCTATGAAGTTACCCAAAGGCTGGAGGGATGCTTAGGAGGTGAAACTATGCCCTGTACCCTGGCACTTTTTTAAACATACAAGCAGGTGACAGTTCTGTGTTGCAATTTGCCATGTAGCTTTTCATTTAAGGTGTGATGTTCTGTTTGTTTGTTTTCTTTTTGGTGCTGGAGATAGAACTCAAGGCTTTGTAAATGGTAGGCAAGCACCATACCACCAAGTGACACTCCTATCACTAATATGAAACATTGATGTTTTTTCTTTTTCTCAGCTTTTGTTGTAGGATAATCTTTTTGTACACTGTGAAGATGTGTCTTTGCCAAGGTGCCTTCTGATTGGTTTAATAAAGAGCTGAGTAGCCAATAGTTAGGCAGGCAAGAACAGGCGGGACTTCTTGGGAGATAGAGAAACTTGGGATAAATCTAAGCATGCTGGAGAAGCCAGTGAAACATGGAGGGAGTCGGAGGTATAGAATGGAGAAGTATCAGCCATGTGGCAGAATGTAGATTAATATAAATGAGGTAAATTGTAAGAGCCAGTTGAGAACAAACCTAAGCTAAGGCCAAGCTTTCATAGTTAGTAATAAATCTCCATGCCACTGTTTGGGGGCTGGTGGTCCCAAAATAAAGTCAGACAATAGGGTGTGGTGATGTATACACTTAATCTCAGCACTTTAGGAGGCAGAAACAGAGGGTTCTCTATGAGTTCAAGGCCAGCCTGATCTATCTAGCAAATTCCAGGCCAGCAAGGGCTATATAATGAGACCTTGCTTCAAAATAAAACCAAACAACAACAACAAAACCAAAACCAAAAAACAAAATAAACAAAAAAATACTGTAATATAATTGAAAATGTCTTATTTAAATAAATGACTTGTAACCCCTAAGTAACACTTGAGAACAGGATCAACAGACTTCTATAACATCATTCTTCTGCTCCCAGCTGAAGATTCCCTGGGAGGCAAGCAGTAGACAACCACTTAGGCCAAGCATAGCTGAATACAAAGGACTCTATTGGTCCCTACACTGGATGTTCCCCGCTTGACTTCTAGAGCCCAGTTCAGATAATCTCTGAGAAAGCAAACAGGAACAGACTGTGGTAGCCTGGGCAAATGAACTTACAGACACTAAGCCCCCAACAAGGTCAGTGGCATGAGGATCGTCCTCAACAGTAAACTGTGGTGAATATAACTCTGTGGTTCTCAGGATCTCCAGCACGCGGTCCAAGGCTTCTGTCACAGGCATAGGACTGTTTTCCTGGGCGGCGTTGATAATATTGATCACCTAAATCATGGAGATAAAAGACATGAGTTTTGTAACCTTGAAAACAATCAGAGAGCAATCAAGAGTCAAGCTGGTAATAGTTTGTCATTATGTCACTGTCAATGTTAGTTACAGTGTCTCTATCACCCATCCTCTCTTCAGAGGAGACAACATTATACAACTGAAAGAGTATCTTACTGCTGCAGGTCCCTGTTTTCTGTCAAGGAAGCAATTCACTGGGAGTCCCAGGGGCTTACATACTAGTGAAGACCAACCTTGGTGATGGGTGCCTCAATCATCATAGACTGTACCCGGGCCAGAGAGGAATGTCTTCTCTGATTGGAAACTGTGGAGAAAAGGGTGAGAAATCAGGGTGTGCCCAACCTTGGGCATATGTATAGACTCCAACGGCTTTATACCCTCCCTTCCCAGGAATCAGTGTGCTCAGCTACACACAAAAGCTATTGGGAGTAACTGCACACGGACTAGGCTTTCCCTCCTTTCCTTACATGATAAACCTGGGCTCTGCACTACCAGTCCTGCTTTCCTCAGTTCTAGGTGCTAGCATGCATGCAAGACCCCATATCCTGAACTTCCGATGTCACAGGTCATAGAGAAGACGGAGGGAGCAATTTAGCAAGTCAAGGCCAAACAGCCTCTTTTTTTTTTGTCGACAACAATAAGGCTTTAGTTATACCTCTTGTTGCTCTCCAGGAGTTCTAGAAGACAGTGCCTTTTGTTCCGTACAAGGTGGTTGTCTACAACAATAAGGCTTTAGTTATACCTCTTGCTGCTCTCCAGGAGTTCTAGAAGACAGTGCCTTTTGTTCCGTACAAGGTGGAAGCAATGGACTAAGCTTTTTTTTTTTTTTTTAAATTTTTATTTATTTTTTTTGTATACAGCATTCTATTTGCATGTTTATCTGCACACCAGAATAGGGCACCAGATTTCATTATGGATGGTTTTGAGCCACCATGTGGTTGCTGGGAATTGAGCTCAGGACCTCTGGAATAGCAGTCGGTGCTCTTAACCTCTGAGCCATCTCTCCAGCCCATGGACTAAGCTTTACCACTTACTAAAATCAATTGATTTCTGTTTCAAATTTCTAAGCTTCTCCCTAGTGCTGTCCTTCAGTGTGTTTAATTTAGGCTAATCAGGTAACAACATTACAACTAGGGTTTTGTTGTTCATACCCAGGCATGGCTCTTCTGAGATGAGAGAAGCCTGGACAGGCAGGAAAAGAATGTCCCCAAAGCTGTGTGTCTCTGTGAATACTCCACTGTTAGGGTTACCCAAGGCCGGAAAGGATGACTGTCCAACAAGATGATGCCTCAGCCTCAACTTGGCGTCATAGAAATTAAGGCTAAAGAGAGATACTAAGGTTAACCAGGCCAAGAAGCCTTGAATGCTCTGTTTGGGGGTCCAACAAAACTCAAATCTAATTTCAGTGATTAGCTGCCAACTTCACATTTTATACAATAAAGTCACTAAACAAAACTGCCACCGTCTTGTCACGGTCAGAAAAGGACTTGCTCTTACGTAGGAATATAATGAAAATGACACGTACTTCTCACCATGGTAACAGAGAGCTGCTGGGCAGCATGCACTGTACTCTTGAAAACCTCTAAGTTGCATTTAAGGATGGGAAGTAAAACATTTGTTAATAAGCTCAACTTACTCATTTCACAATGTATACATATTCTAAAATAGCTGATGTTGTCTGATAAATATACACAATTTTAGAATTTGTGAATTAAAAGAAATTTTTATTTTAAAAATAACTTGAAAAAAATCAAATAGCATAAATGCAATGAGGTAAGAAAAATAAGATGCAAAAAGTTCTGTGTGTAGAGACGACTCTGAAGAATCTGCAAATACACTCACTATTCTATCTTAGATTCAGTAAGTAGTAAGTCTACTACCTAAGTTACCGAGTAAAAAAAATCAATATACTAAAACCCATTGCATTTCTATGTACTAATGCCATGTAATTAGAAGTGGAAGTAAAAACACTGTTAAAATACTATCAAGGGTTCTCTGGACAGGAAGGGCTCACAAGGCCTACCCCTAGCTATTGTCAGTTATAACTTCTGGGGAAGGGAGAACTGTTTTCTTCAGGAATGTGGCCCCTGGTAGGTTGCCTATACTTCAGTGATTGGTCCTATGCCCATGTAGATATGGGCAGCACTAAATAAACACAGTGGGTTAATTAAAAGGTGGGCGGAGAGGACATGAAGTTGGGAAGGGACTTGATCAGCATGTATCTAACTGATCTTAAAATTTTTATTTCAGATGAGAAGGTGGCACACACCTGTAATCCCAGCACTTGGGAGATGGAGGCAGAGGATCAGGAGTTCAAGATTGTCCTGAACTATATTGGGTGTTTGAGGCCAGCCTGGGCTATATAAAACCCTACTTAAAAATAATTGTATTTCAGGCCTGGTGTATTGGTGCATGCCTTTAATACCAGCACTAAGGCAGAGGCAGGCGGATCACTGTGAGTTCAAGGGCAGCCTGGTCTACACAGTGAGTTCCAGGATTACTAGGGCTGTCTTGAAAAACAAAAACAAACAACAACAACAAAAAAACAAAAATTATATTTCAATCTGAATTTAAATAATATTTGGAGTTTATTTTATTTTATTTTTTTGGTTTTTCGAGACAGGGTTTCCCTGTGGCTTTGGAGGCTGTCCTGGAACTAGGTCTTGTAGACCAGGCTGGTCTCGAACTCGCAGAGATCCGCCCACCTCTGCCTCCTGAGTGCTGGGATTAAAGGCGTGCGCCACCGCCACCACCACTGCCCGGCTCATATTTGGAGTTTATAAGTTCCAAATTAAGCTTACCACTTCCAAAGGGTACATTTCCATAGTAAACTGCAAACTAATCTGTCCTTTGGAATTACAAGTACATGACTCATATCATGATAGCAAATTAACAAACAAATCTATGACTAAGAGTTTAGAAATCATATAGAGCACCTAGTGCCTATTTCTTTGATTTTTCCTTATTATTGACTCATTTCTTTTCTTTTTCTTTCTTTCTTTTTTTTTTTTTTTTGGTTTTTCAAGACAGGGTTTCTCTGTGTAGCTTTGGCGCCTATCCTGGCACTCGCTCTGGAGACCAGGCTGGCCTCGAACTCACAGAGATCCAACTGCCTCTGCCTCCCAAGTGCTGGGACTAAAGGCGTGCGCCACCAACGCCCGGCTTATTGACTCATTTCAATGGCTCTGTGTAGAGGGTGGGATGGGACACTGGTTCCAAGAGGGGCCTCTCTTTTCGTGAATGCACAGTGCATGGTAATCAGGAAAGGAAGCTGCAGGGTCGGGTGTCCAGTCTGCCACTCACCTTCACTTGTTCTACAGCAAACTGCTTTGGCATCTACGGAACTTTTCCTCCTGTCTTTATGTTTGCCTGCCAGATTATCTGTGGAAACAATTAAACTATAAATCATCTCTTTACAGATATATAAGCGACATATTAGCAAAAGACATGAAGCTACATCTTAAAAGTCCCCAAGTGAAAGAACTTGAACACTATTTGCACTACAAAAACCTGCACTGTGCACAGACAAGCCACACACACACCTTGGTTTTGAGGGGCTTCATTTTCTCAAAACTTTACAGAGTTCAAAGCCATGAAGAAACAACCTGAAGAAATGACCTCAGGAGAGGTTCTCCTATATTGTAGTTAAATGAAACAGGATTTTATCCTCATTTACCCTTGTCTCAAAGGAGAAACACACACACACACACACACACACACACACACGCGCACGCACGCGCGCGCACACACACACACACACACACACACACACACACGCACCCCTACTTTATTTTCTCTGCAACATCCTGGAAAAGAGTCCTTCTCTTTCCTAGGGTCATATATGGAGTATAGTTTAGGGCACAATATGAGGATAATTTGTCTTTTGCCCCAATTTCTCTTTTCAGTAAAAGATGCCACTGCTATTCAAGGCTCCAAGTGATGGGGAATGTACTGTGTATGTTTATCTTATTGTTGAATAAAATACTGTTTGGCCAATGGCAGCAAAGTTAGACAGGACTAGGAGTCAAAGAGGATTCTGTGAAATGTAGTAGAGACGTGGTGATCCAGGCAGGAAGTGACATAGCAAGGAGAATCATATTTAAGCAAAGGAAATAGGAAGTGTCCCTCTTTTCCCCTTCCTCCTCCAGTGGCGGGATGTGAGCCGCCAGCAAGGAGGGACACCAATAAGGTGTCCAATAAGATAAGTCTTATAAAATATATAGATTTATGATAATTAAGACTGAGCTAACAGATGAGAATCCTAGTCATTGGCCAAGCAGCATTGAACCTAATACAAGTCTCTCTGTGTATTAATTTGAGCCCTAACTCGGGCGGACAGCTGGCGTAAAGTGCACACGTGGCGGTGGGGCTCAGTGGCTTTGGCGAAAAGATTTATAGTAACATCCAAGTAAGAGTTCTCTGACTCCTCTCCAGCCCTTGACCCATCTGTTCACTGACAAAGTGAGCCTAACCTTCCAGCTAGTCTCCTTGTACCTGTGGGTGCCCAGTGTGGTGCTGATGGCTTAATGAACAACTTATGTCCCCATCTCACACAAAAGGAAACAGGGAGCAATCTGCAGGTGAATGCATGGAGCGGCAGGCAGGCCCTGAGTCCAGTTCTCCCAGGAGGTGGTGGAGTGTGTCTGCCTTGCTTGGTCCTTTTACCTGACTCTTCTTCTTCTGCCCGAGGCATGGTCCTGGTGCAGGCCCCAAGTGCTCCTCTGCACCATGGAGAAGGTTCTTTACCAGGTTTTACTCAGGGACTTGAGTAAGCTAGGTGAGCACTCTACCACTGAGTTACCTTCACAGCTCTGCTCTTAGCTTCCTGAGTCTCTTCTCTATTTGTATGCGTGTAAACTTGCAAAGGCCACTGATGACCTCCTTGTCACTAACATCTTGCTAGACACAAGTGAGCTCTCTTTCTGGCCACTTGTGTTTGTAGAAACCACACTGCCCTGGTTTTCTGTCCACCTTACTATTCCTTCCCCATCCTTTCATGCTTTCCTCTTCCTTGGCCCCCTATCATTTCCAAAGGCTGGCTTCCAAAGGTTCTAGCCTCATCCCTTTCACTTTTAAGGAGACACAACATCTTTCAAAAAACCCTCATTGCTTCCTGCAGCTCTGTCTAATTACCCCATCCTCCCTGAGTCCCAGACTTACATCTTGATGGGCCATTGACCATCTCTGTTTGGATACTTTTCAACTATTGCAAATTAACTCATCCAAAGTGAACGCACCCTTTCTAACTCCCAGGCATTAGACAGAACCTACCCACTTGACCAACTTCCTACAGGCAGCCAACAGAGCCATCTACACCTTCTTATCAGATCCTTTCTAACCAATCATAACACACTCCTGGCTGATCAGTCCTCAGGGTCAGTTTCAGACTCCCAAGGGTGGTACTCAGAATCCCACAGAGCTAATCCCAACTCTCTAGACCCCCATGAAGTCTTTATATTGCATTAGTTCATCCCCAAAATCTCTACACCCTGCTACAAACTACTTATCTAAGAGTGCACATTTCTTATGTTGCCTCCTTTCTCTAGTTAACTCTGCATTTCTAGGAAGATGCAGTTCAAGTAACTAAACTTCGGGAAACCTTCCCATATGTCTCCCATCCCATCCCATCCCATCCCATCCCATCCCATCCCATCCCATCCCATCCCATCCCTGTAGGCAACTGGCCTTACTATTGCCTGTCAAGACAACTGTGAACAATCTGGGGGCAGAACAGTTTTTCCTGGGTGGCCTGCAACACATTTAGCACACAGCAGATGCTCCGTAGATACATGCCTGCTTCACTTGACACCTGCATGATCCTGTGCACAAATGACAGGACTGTTGTGAGGAGCCACTCTGACTGCAGCTCTGCTATTCAAAACCCTCCAGGCAAATATTACCTCCCTGGACTTCAAAGGTGCAGCCTGCCCACACAGCCTGCCCTCCATTTCTCTCTGGTCTGGAGCTTGTCAGCCCAACTGCTCTACTCACTTCTGGAGCAGCCTTGACATCTGCTCTGAGGTGATGCTACACTGGCTCCAGGTGCTCATCCTTCAAGAGGCAACTCCTCTCAACCATATGTAGTGATGAGTGTCTTTCCTTTCTCTGGGCTTGACAATAACTCATGGTTACACAACTGTCTAGTGAGCTGGGCTGTGACTTGTTTGTTCTCTTTATCCACTTAGCAAATATTAGCCGAGCACTTGCCCTGTAACAACACTTAAGACTGGGGCTGTGGTTTAAATCTTGACTGTCCCTCGAAGACCCATGTGTAAAAGACTGTCAGGAGGATGCTTTTGGTTCTATGAACTTCACACTGCCTCATTTGTTCCCTACGTGTTTCTTGAGGGTTGGCTCTGAGAGCTAGGCAGTAGGGCACAGGGTCAAGGGATGCAGGGCCTTTCAGAGATGGAAACCAGTCATCTAAGCTATCTTCTCAGGCTCCTTCCTTTTCCTTTGTTTTGTTCTCTGGCCAAGAAGCAGTGGTCTCACTTTACCATATGCTCCTACCATGTGTTGCTTCACCATAAGCCTAACAAGGCTAAATGATCATGAGCCAAAACCTCCAAAATGGTGAGCCAAAATAAATTCTCTTATTGTAAGTTAGTTATTTCAGATATGTCCTTGCAGCATTAGGGATATGACAATGGAAGTGATAAAGTCATATCCTCAAAAGGAGGCGAGGAAGGCAGGTGAGAAGAATTATAGTAATGACTGAAGTGAAGTGAGAGGGTAGAATATGTCAAAAAGCACCACCAGACCAGGGTGGTGCTGTGGCAAGAGAGGAAGCAAGGTTCAAGGAGATTGAATTTCCACTGAAATACTTTAAAGTTGCTTTGTTTCTACATAAATCCTAGATCTTCTGCTCCCAACAACTCTGTCAGGAATGCTGCTCCTGCTGTGTCCCTGTAGATCTTTGTAAGTGAGTCTGGGACAATTTTCACTCAGCAGATAGAAGGTGGGCTGTACATGCCTTGACCAGGGGGTAGAGGTGGACTGTACCTGCTTTGATCAGGCCCAGCTCCCAGATGCAGCTTTTAGGGCACACCCAGGGGACCAGTGAGGAAGTATGAGGGTCACTTTCTGAAGAGACTGTCAGCCATGAAGAAGCACCATGCCCAGTGGCTCACACAGTAGTGGGTGTTCAATAGATAACACACCACTCTGAGAAGGAATCATGCCTATACATGGAAGCAACTCCAAATAGGCCCCCATGACCATCGATCTACAACTCTGCTCTTGGTTTCCTGTCCTGCTCATTTCCTCAGAGACATTAGCATTTCTGGGCCTGACAGGACAATCCAGGGAATTCTGGAGAAGTGGTATTGGGCAATGGAAGACACTGTCTCCTGTCAGCACCCTAACTGCAGGAGCCCTTTGAATTGGAAGCAGGAACTCTGGTCTGGATATGAGAAAGCTGGGCCCCTGGCAGACTGCAGTGCATGCTCTTGGGCACTCTGCAGTACAGGCCTGGGATAAGTGCCTAACTGCCAGCCCCAGGCTCCCTGGTTACCTCCAATCTTAGACAATGGTACTTGCCACTCTTCCTGAGAAGGCTCTCCATTCCCAGAGATACAAGAACCTCTGTATCTCTTTAGAGAACTGTGATATCTATAAGCAACAGTCCCAGGCCTGGCAGCCCATAGGAAGACTTGTGATGTACCTGAGGCCTTAGGCCCATCCTCTTCTGCCTAAACCAAAGCTTGTCATATGATGGCAAGTCAGAGCAATCAGTTTATACTCAGTTTATACTGGTGTGTCTTTAGTGAGGTATAGCATCATCTGAAAACGGAACATGTGTGAGGAGTTTATTATTTTTCTAAGCTCCCAGACTTTCAACATCTTTCTCTTGACTGGGGAGTTCCAGGCCCTCCCTTTACAGAAGGGAGGAGGCCAGGACTCCCTTGCTCTACACCTAAGTAGCAGGTGACCTAGGCCTAGACAAATAAACACCTTTTCAGGGTCTGCCATGGAGCAAGTGAAACAAGAAGCAAGACCCTGCCCCTGGATCTCGCCAGAGCCAGTAGTGCCCAGCTATGCTGTTCCTGTGGCATGTCCAGATCAGAGAGGACAGCTGCCCAGCATCCCTTGGCTCCAGACCCTGGCCCCATCTGTAAGGTGCTCTACTTCCTCCCAATAATCTCTCCCTCTGCTTGAGGACTCACTTCTGCTGTCCATGGCCTGATAGACCCACCTGCCCCACTGAGGCAAGGCAGCCCCCAGACCTTCAGGCACAGAACTGTTCTGCTGCCCAGGGAGGCACAGATTAGATGGATGGCTCATCTGGGTGACAGCAGCAGCTTCTAAGGGAGCACTCATCAAGTACAAATGGTCCAGCGCCTCGAGGCTGGGCTGGATTCCGACCTTGCCTGTACTTCTGACCATCACTGATGGCCACCCAAGCCCTGCTCTGTCATTTCCTAGCTGCCTAGATCTAGGCTGCCATTTAACCTTCTTGACTCTTGTTTTTTTCTTCTGTAATAAATAGCCATGTCCACTTTGCAGGGCTATTCTGAAGAAATAAAACCAACAAAATACTACTAACAAAAAACGCCAAGCAATGTGCTCTGTGAGCTTGCAGCACAGAACTCCTGCCATGGCAGGCTCTGTCTGCCACTTTTGCTTTGACTCCACAGTTCCTTGCAGCGTGGCTTCTGTCTCCCACTCCTCTGAGCCTGAACACTGACAGCTCTCAGTAGCTCTTGAATGTAAGTCAAAGTCCCTACTTTTCTGCCCAGTGCCCCTTCCCTGCCCTCAACTGCTTCGATGAACACTCTCTTGCCCCCACCCCCCCACCCCACCCTTTTGACTCCCTCTCTGCTTGACTTCCTCCTCTTCTCTCAGGGACTCATCAGGGACTTGCCTCACACTCCCACTGTCATTCTTTTCCATAGTAACCGTGATGTTGCTACTTCCCTACACACCCCTGGGCTCTGTCTCAGCAGTTCTACATCTTCATCACTTGCCAATGATTTTCTGGTCAGAAACATCGGCATCTCAAGTTCTTACCCCTTTGAAAAGCCTAGGAACCAGTGACGGGCACATGTTTACTATCACTCTATACAGTAGTAAACAGTACCATCCAGGTAAAGTGGTCCATATTTATCATCCCCAGTCTTGACCACACCCTAAATCTCCTGGCTCACATGGGAACTTTTGACTGCTTTTCCTTCATCCTTCTTCCCCGTCCTCCACCACCAGGCTCGTCCCCACTCCCCTTCTTACTGTCACCTCATTTTCCTGGCCTGCGCTTTCTCTCCTCTTAGTTGCACATCCTTCCATGTGAAGGGTTGCAACACAGTATAAGAACTTAGAACTCAAGCATCTCCAGACTAGCTACCTTACTCTGAAACCCTCAGAGACTCTGACTGCCCATGAATAAAAAGCCTGATGTCCTACCTGGCCTTTAAGGACCACGATTAATTCAAACTCCTCATCCTGACTTAACTCTGCCAGTCTACATTTACTATTCCTCCCTCTGGAACACATACTATACTCTCCCTCTTCTGCAGCGCCTGATGGAGAACCCCCACAGTTCATGCCCTCACCTATGAGGGCAAAAGCAGGAAGTAGCTTGCAAAGCCATGACTTGTGTTTGAAGCCAGAGAAAAAGGTCTTTGCAGTAGGACAAATGGTATCTGAGGCATAACTAGAAGACATGAAACAAGCAAGTCTGGCAGGCCCAGATATCTACCTGTAAGATGGCGGTGACAATTGATAGGGCAAATGAAGATGTCCCTGCTGAAGTACTTCGGTATGCCACTCAACCCTGTTATAAAATCATACTTCACTCAACATATACACACCAGCCATGCATTGGATCCATCAGTTCTCCCCACACAGGCCAGCCCAGGCACTTGTCAAGATGCCCACAGCACTCAAGTCCTTCAACTCAAACCATGCTGGGGTAGTGGTGGTGCTAGGAGAACAAGGTCCCACTACTGTACAATGCAGGACCATCAAAGAATGGATCTGGGAATTTGCCCCACATTCAACCTTAAGAATGAATATAGGGCCTCATACCTGCTTGACTGTCAGTCTGAACAGATTCAGTTACTGTCTCAATCTAAAAATAAAATTTACAAGCCATTAGTTTTGATCTCCTAAAAATCCTATTGGAATGCTCAGTTCCTGGGGCTCCTTGCCTACCTTATTGTTGCCATTGCACACTCTGATAATGGACACATAGTGTCTGATTTTTCTGTAAGTAGAAAACAATGAGTTATTTTTCTCCTGACTCTAATTTGGTATAAACATAGTTAATTTTTCATTATGAAAAGAATACTTCCTTTTAGCAATGCTTTGAGAACATTTTTTCCTTCTAATTGGGGGTGGGCATGGCCATCAATAAATGAAGAAAACTTTGCAAATACCCTCGTAGGACTTTGGAAAAAAGAAGTGACTTCAGTAGTCACTTCCCTAGTTATTGCAACAGACAACACAAAACACATATGCTGTTAACAGTATACTGCATGTTAGCCTTTGGCTCCCTAATGCCGTTCTGACAAGTGTTGATCCTGATGCTCTGAGTCCCAGCAGTCTGTTTACAGTCACTCGTGGAGATAGCCATAGGCCAGCCACACAGGCTGAGCTCCTGCTGGCCTCAGTTAGCCAACATCTAAAACAAAGTGATGAGGGCTGGGTACAGAAGTTGCTGGTTTGTTCCATTTATTTATTGTTCCCTCCATTTTTTTCACCATAATCAAACCCCTATATACTTATCACAAAAAAAAAAAATTGGAAAGGACATAAAAGAGCAAAGAGTAAGAACAGAGAGCCCACACAGTTTTGCCTCCCTGAGGCAATCACCAACTGGCAGCAAAGTCTGCTGACATAGCACGAGAGCTGTGTGGTCGGTCGGTTGGTCGGCACTGAGAGCTGCACCAGGCACTATCATACATGGCAGCTATGGCTGGGGCTAGAAGCCAGACCTCTCTAAGGCTCCACTTCCTCACATGTAAAGTGGAGACACATCTGTGCACTGTGCTAACAAAACAGAGCTGTACTTGGAATGAAAAGAAATGGCATCTCCCACCAGGAGCCTAGCTAGAGGGAAGTACATAGAGAACAGAGGGCTACTGACACTATGGGTCCACACTTCCTCCTCTAACCTTCTTTCCTTTTGTAAATATATCATACACTGAGTCTGACTTTATATTTTGCATTTAACAGTACAACTTAATTTTCCATGATCATCATGTATAAAAATATATTATTTTACTGTTGGGTATTCTATAATTCATACCCAGAATTTTCTAGAAACTTTCTCTGTTATTTTGAATAGGTTCTGAGACAAGGCATCTAAAAATTTTAGGCTCTTGATATATATTTACAATATACAACATGCGTATGTGAGCACACGCATGCTTGCCCATGTGGCCATATGTGGAGACAAAGGCTGACATTGTGATTGATGTCTTCCTCGATTGCCTCTCCACATTATTATAATTATTATTAATTAAGACAGAGTCTCTCACTGAACCTGGACTTCATTTCACAGCTAGACTGGCTAGCCAGTGAGACCGCAGGTCCTCCATCCACCAATGATGGGGTTTCAGGCATGATGCCACACCGGTTTGGTGGGGAGGGAGGTGCTAGAGATCTAAACTCGGGATTCTCATGCTTGCATAGCAAGCACATTTCCCAAGGAGACCGCTCTCCAGCCCCTAACACATCTGTTAGCATTCAAAATATTTTTCTCTAATATGACAGGCCTTTGCAAAAACAAACAAACAAACAAACAGCCCCAAAACCTACTTCCAGTTAGATAAAAAGCTTATAAACACAGAAGTAAACTGATTTGAATATAAATATTGAAGTCTTTGGCAAATCTATATAGCATAAAGAAGACTGTACAAAGTCAAGTGGAAGGTCTTCAAGGAGCGATCCCCTGAAGGCCATCCTGTGGGACACCTGGCCCTCCTCAGTTACACTTCTTGAGCAGGTCTGAGTTTACTTAGTATTCAAAACAAGTTCAAAACATGGACTGCTGATTGATATACATTTTTTCCACTTACCCTCCCTGCCCAATGACAGGTATTATCTTCACATTTTGTTGTATATTATCTCCATTTTTCTTTTGGGTATGGTAAACTCCTTGCCACTCCTATAAATGGAACGTAAGCATCATTACACTTTGGGTTTGAAACATAAACCCAGGAACATTTTCCATTTTGGTTCTAAATCATTAATCACCATGAAAGAACTTAGGATAAAAAATGATCCCAATTCCAAATGCAACTTATGTAGCCGATGATTCTTCTTCACCCTCTAAAGTCCACTTGACAAAGGTCAAGTCACCTCAGTGTAAGTGGTCATGTGATGGCAAGAGAGAACCCCTCACTTCACTGTATCGATGCCACCTCTCTCAGCTCCCACAGCCTGCAGTGAAGAAGGGAGTTAGCACTTTGCCTTGGTACTAGTGCAGGAGAAATCTCAGGACTAGGGCAAGGAAGGGCAGTTTGTGGCCATCAATGCAGAATGCAGTACTGTGGCTGCTACTAGTTTTACTCTGAATGACTTTAGCCCTATCGTAATTGGGGCTTTCAGACCCTCTGCAGGGTGGGATGACTCAGCAGCTTGACTTGAGCTCAGGCAGCAGCAGAACAAGGTGAAGCTGAAAAGCATGGGGCTGTGATTTTAAGAGCTCACATGACTAGAGCCAGGGACCCTCTCAACAGGAAAGGGCATGGCTATGGAGGAAACAGGGCACACCTTCCCTTGGGGTGATGAGGCAGCTAGGGATTTGTCATTATTAGCCAGCCAAGGTTCTGAATTCATCTGGCAAGTCACTCACTTAGCAAGTGCTAAGCTATGAACCCCTAAAGCCTCCTGTTGGGACACTATGCAGAGGAGTCCATAATGCTCTTGACCTTTCAGAACCCTCAGAACCCAGAGCTCTCTAAGAAACTCAGGTAGATATTGATTAGTGGATGACATAATTCTGAAAAAAAAAATCTTTTTTTTTTTTTTTAAACACCATGTCAAAAACAGCTAGTTCTGTCTGTAGCTCTTTTTTTTTTTTTAAACACCATGTCAAAAACAGCTAGTTCTGTCTGTAGCTAGCACTCAGCAGAATAAGCCACAAATAGCTCAGTTCTGAGCACAGCCAGTCCAGAGACAGGCAAAGAGGAAGCAGGAATCCCAAGCAGGAAGGCAATCCTCATCTCCACAGTTCACGAGGTCACCATGGAAACAGACAGTGCTGAGTACTACCAAAGGCAACCTGGGATGTTGTCTTGATGTTTGTACAGCTACACGAATATGCTTAATCACTGAATGTGTAGTTTTGTTTGCTTGTTTGTTTGAGGTGGATTCGTACTATGCAGCTCTGGCTAGCCTGGAACTGGCTACACAGACTAGGCTGGTCTCAAACTTGCAGTGACCCTCTTGCCTTAGCCTCCCAAGTGATATGAACAGTACACTTTAAATGGAGTGAATTTTATTGTGTGAGAATTACATCTCAATAAAACTGTTAGATTATATACAAAACAAATGTTAGATATATACAAACAAATGTACTTACCATGAACCATATTTACTAATTACAAATATAAAAACGTTTAGTGATGTATCATTGAGAGTTTGAATTCCAGGGAAGAAGGATACTACTTCAGAACACGGTCATAGAAATTTACAGTTGGTAAGGCTGATACCTGGCGAGTTCAGTGGTCAGCCTGTTTGGGGTGCAGGTGCTGTTGCATAGTCCTGTCCCCACAAGCTCCCCACTCCACACAGTAAGGCTCATGCTTCCCTGCTGCTGTCTGGCACAAGCTACATACCAGGCTGGGCTTCTATGGCTATTGATGTAATCCCCTTTGGCAATCATTGTCATGAAATTAAGGCATTGTCATCCAGCTGTCCTGTCCCCAGGGCTGGCACAGTGCTCACCCATGGTAAACAATCGAAGAACACATGACACTTTTGTTTACAGAGTGACTGAGGTCAATTACAGAGTCTTGGCCACCAGGCTAAGCAATCTGAACACTATACAACATGATGAAATGATGTCTTACTAAGACCACCCATGCACAGAATAGGGAGGAGGGATTTGGCCTCCATAATTGTGGGAGAGTGAGGAGGTCAGGGGCAAACACTCAAAGCAAGGAAGTTATCAACTTCCTTGAAAGTGATGGAGTTGGAGGAGGCAAAGACAGTGGGGATCAGTTTATTCCAGAGATCCAGGACAAGGTAACTGTGAGGACAGCCTATATGAACAGGGTCTGACTAAAAGACACACTGGAGTTTTTACTCATGGAAAGTGAGAGGAAGATCACTAACAAATTAATTTCAAGTAACAGCAGGATATTGAGGGGAAAGAGCAAGGGTCAGAGTCCAGGTAATTTGTGGAAGAAACAAAAGGAAAGTAGAGTAGGGAAATGGAATTTTTCAGTGAGGAAGGAAGGATTACAGGGAATAAGGAAGGTCAAAGAGTACTGAGGCAACACATCAGCACTGACAGGCATCGGAACAGCAACATTTATCCTGCACTGAGAGAGAGACAGACAGACAGACAGACAGACAGACAGACAGACAAAGGATGTTTGTGTGTCTCAGGGATAGGGCAACAAAAGGGGAAAAGTCAAGATGTCTAGGCAGGGAAAAGCCATGTAAAGCTTGGCTACCTGGAAGATGGGCGATTATAAGGCCCCTGGCTGGGAAGTTATGGGGAAGAAGAAAAAGGCTACAAAGAGGTACACATGTGAACCTAAAAACTCAAGTTAGCATCTCTATCTGCCCCAAAGAGAGCAACAGGTAGAAAGATTTGTGGTGTGATGGGTGTCTGCAATACTCTGCTTCAACAGCTTGGGGATTTCTCCTCTGGCCCAAGGTTTCCAAACTGATTATTCAACACCTAGAATATGACCTCCTGATGCCTACAGCCCTGGCCATCTGACCATTTTCTGAATTTTCTATCTTCTGCCATTCTGGTCCCCAGGGGACAGTTGAGCTCTCCCTGCTGACAAGGCCACTGACCCCTCCACTAGCCCTTCCCCTACAGGGACTGGGCTAGGCAGACTGTCCACCCTCACTTCAGTGAACCAACAGGTTACTGACAATGGGTAGAATCACCTTTCACACTCCCTAAAAGCTCTGAAATGCCCCACAAATGGCCAGACTCCTTTCAGAAACAGAGTAGCAAACAGGCCTGTGACGCTCGGCATTTCTAGGTTTGCTCATGATCATGTCAAGTCCTAAAGAGGAGTCCCTGCTACTCAGATGTGAGGGTTTCTGCACTGGTCCCCTACAGCGTCAATCCAGCAGATACACTGACCGAATGCCCTGTCGCTATTTGTTCTCCTTAGTAAGTCCAGCATGCCTGGCAGGGGTCCAGACTAGTGGATATCCAACAACAATAAAACCACTTGTTTGAGAACACACACACACACACACACACACACACACACACACACACACACACACACACACCAGGCATGCTGGTAATCACCTTTAATCCCAGTACCGGGAAAGGAGAAGCTGGTGGATCTCTTGAGTTGAGGGCAGCCTGGTCTACAGATAGAGATCCTGTCTCAAAATGAAACAAACAACAACAAAACCTTTGTCTAAAGTATTACCAAAGGACGAAAATGACAGAACTGAATGGCCATGGGGAAAGTCCCGAAGAGAACACATCATCTAATGCAGTACATCAGAGCACTGAGGTTTCTTTGTCCATCTCAGTCTTTGTCCTCTCTCTCCAGAAGACCCTCCACTCCTTCTAGTAAGACAAACAGCACCCTGAACTTAAACCTTGAAGGAAGGAGGGTTCAAACAGTACCCAGCTAACCCTGAGTCCTGAGTGTACTGCTTGGCCCTTGCACCCAGACTGCTCTCCCTGTGTTTTTCTTCTAGTTTTTGTTTGTTTATTTTGAGACAGGGTCCCTCTACATAGTCCTGGCTGTCCTGGAACTCACTATGTAGATTATGCTGACCCCAAACTCACAGAGATTTGCCTGCCTGTGCCTCTGGTGTTGTTAGGATTAGTGCCACCACGCCCAGCTTCTTCTGTGTTCCTAATTCAAGACAATCTCTTGTTCTTGCAGCCATGGGGAGAACACAGGAAGCAGAGCTATTCACTGTGTCTTCCAGAGGCCCAGGTCGAGTGAGGTATAAGCTGTGCATGGCCCCTGCCTTCTGTGGTTACGGTCATAGTAACAGCCTCTTCTCAAGTTTGAAAACCAAGGAAGAGATCACTAAAAGGATGAAAAGTAACTGATGATCACACCCGAAAGCCCAGCACCAGGGCAGTGTGGACAGGCCTGGCAGGCTATCTGACCCTTTAGCACCGTGATCACACAACCTCTCACACTGTCAACAATGATCCCTTCTGTTTCCAACTCTGGAAACGGGCTTTCTGAAGGAAATGTTCTTGTTTTGATCATTCTTACAGGCAGAACTTGGCATGGTGCTTGGCACACCGCAGGCATCTAAATACTGTTCAATGACTGAGGCTCAGATGAGCTTGGAGGGTGTGCTGCCTCACTGGAGACCCTTACTCAGAACCATGCACTAACATCTACCACTTAAAAGATCAGTTACTAGAAATACCAACTTATTCAACTTATTTTAAGGTCAATTCCAATGACTTTGCTTATTGGCTAATCATGTCACATTCTTGGCTTCAGTTTCTGCACCTGAAAAGTGAGAGTAACAGGGACTTCTGGAAAAAGGGTAGAGCTGAAGTCACCTGCTCCACACAGTGTCAATGAACACCAAGTCTTTCCTCTTACCTGAAGGTGATAATGGTACTATCATTTCACTTACCTTGCCTATCTTGATACACGAGTTTATGGCGTCAAGCAAGTCCCCTTTCTTTTCATTTATGGGCACTTGTGCTAACTCCTTCCCTATCAATTCACCTGACTGATAACCCATTGTTGTTTCAAATGCAGGGTTTGCATACTGGAAAGAGACAAAAGATAAAAGTGAATTTAAAAGATGTTTTGAAAAAATAAAGGCCTTCCACCTAAGCACCACTCCCACCCCCCAAAAACTCAGCAGCCTGGGCTTCATCAAGAACGTTCTAAAGCCATGAGAACTTCATGGCACATGGCTGGGCCTCCTCCTATGTCTGAGACTCCAGGAAGGCAGCAGGCTCTCTCCAACTTCAATGAAGACAAAGGGAGCCCTATTCTCAGAACAAACCCAGGCTGCCTGGATGGTGCTACAGTGAAATAAAGTACCAGGCACTGCCTTCTGAATCTCTGCAAGTGATCACCTGGATGGGGAGAGTGAGAACAAGCCTCTCTGGATGACTCAAATGAATAATATGTGGAAGACAGGCTACACACTATATAAGCAAAACGTTTGATAGTAACTTTCAAATACAACTATAAGACAAGGGGAAATGTATGAGATTGCTGAGCATGTGTTGGTGATGATGATGAGACAGAAATGACAAAACAGAAACTGGCAGTGGTTATCAAGATAGTAAGCACTTCACACACAGGAACCGGGTAATCCTCAAAACCTTGTGAAACACAGGTGGCTGCTGTTACTGTCACTCCCATGTCACAGAAAGCAGATTCAGCTAGCTTAAGGAACTTCCCAAAGATGCATGACTGAGGTGGACAGAAGCCTGTGCCCTTAGCTCCTGGCCTGTGTGGCCTCTTAGCACCAACTCCCAAATGTTACCACCAATAACAAGTAACAAGTTAGATTCCCAGAAGAAAGGAATGCTTCCCCCAAACAGCTGTGTCTTCCAGTAAAAGCCATGTTAGTAATATAGAAAAGAAACCAGCTTGCTAATAATTGCAGTTTAGTCTGTTATTTTCTGCATTTTTAACTGTTTTTGGTAAATTTTTATAAATTTAACCTGCCTCCAAAAACAATGAAGAAAGATATATGCACAGTGAAGAAAGCTTGTGTGTGGCCAGCTGGCAGCACGCCTGTTGAGACTCTCCTGAGTAAGCAACAGCCACCCACCCCAGGAAAAGGAATAAGAGAAGCTCTATTATTTCTACATTTCTAAGTACCACAAGGAATTGTTATCTAGAGAGTTTATTTTAAATTATATATTTTATTAATTTTGCCCTTACAATCATCTCAGAAAAAAAATGGCCTCTTGTACTTCAAAAAGAAAAAAAAAAATCAGACTGTAAGGGCTACAACTCTGAAAATGAGAACTAACAAAATGAAGCTATACACATAAATTTCCAAAATAACAAACCTGTATAATGTGGTCTTCACTTGTAATTTCAATTGCTTCTTGACTTTTCTCTAGTGCAGTGAATACTGAGTTACAAGCCCTTTATGGATAGAAACAAAAGGACTGATAAATGTATTTACATCAATGGTAATGACTAAATCTAACACAATCTCAGGGTATTATATCAGCTTACTTGAGTGCCTCGTGTCTGGCTTATAGAGGTTAGTGTGTGCACAGAAAGAAGAAGGGGAAACATTTAAAAACATAAGGAAGACCTTCTACAGTCCTAGTACTAAGGATTATCGCTGGCACACCAGGATGGCTCACACACCAGTGTATCTGTGGTACCCTGAGCCCCTAGAGTGTCCTTTCTCAACACTAAAGAACCTTCATAAGGACTAAATGAAAGAAGAGAGTCAGGATTGATGCAGAGAGCCTGGAGAGGGAGGTAGCCTGCCATTTGAAGGTATTATATTAAACAAGCTATTTTCACAGTATTGGAGGCATCTGGAATAACCAGCTTTGTTGCCTGCTTTCTTCACTTAGTCTTACACTGTGAGCATATCCCACATTCTTCCTGTTTGAAATGCTTTCTTAATTATACAAGTAACAAATGTTCATTGACAAAAGGTAGAAAATATAAACAAGATAGCTTATTGCTCCACTGTAAGAATAGGATGGGCAGTAAATATTAGTGATACACTCATACATTATTGATAGGAATGTAAAATTGATGCTGCTTCCATTTTGGAAAATAGTCTAGAAATTCTTCAAATGGTTAAACAAAGAATCATCATATGATCCAGCTATACCTACTCTTGACTATGTACTTAGTAAAAATAAGTACAAGTATAAAATAATTATCTGTTGACACAAAAACTTTTAAGTTAACATTTGGCAAGTACAAACATCCCACATGTCCACCAGTAAAATGCAATACACACATATGCTGGAATATTATATAGACATAAAAAAACAAAGAAATCCTGATGTATATGCTATAGTATAGATCTACCTTGAAAACATATTTAAATGCAACAAGTCAGTTACAAAGGATCATATACTGTGTGATTTCAATTCATATGAAATGTCTAAAATAGGCAAATCTAGACACAGAAAGTATAATAAGGGTGTGGACCCAGGGTTAATGAAAATATTCTAGAATTGTGGTGATGAGTGCATAATTCTGGGAATATAATAAACATCATTATGTATCTTAAATAGATAAATGATAGGGCATATGAAGTGTATCTTAATAAAGATGTTCAAAAATAAATGAGATCAGAACATCTGATACCCCAAATGCTTAGACATATCGGCAATAGGTTCTTTTATGAACACATACATCAACATATATATTTATAAAAATGTAATCATTCTTACAGTTTTACCATCTCCTTTTCTCACTCAACATATATTAATATCAATAATTACAGTTCTCCATCACCACATTTAATCACCATATAGTATTTTGTTATAAGGTTACACCAAAATATATTCAACAAACTCCCATGATGAGGTACATGGGCTGCTTCCAGGCTTTTGTCTTAGATAATCACCCCCACCCCCATGACCAGAAGGCCCATTATTCTTGCTCAATAAAGCTGTTACTTAACAACAAAACGAGGCCTGTAAGATGGCTCCGAGGGTAAAAGGCCTCTGTTCAGCAGGACAACCTGAGTATGATCTCCAGGGCTCACATAGTTAGAAAGAGAGGGCCAGCTCCCTCCACATACATGCACACTGTGTGTGCCCACACCTATGTACTTAAACCCACAAAACAAATAAGTATTCATTCAAAAAATACAAATTAGAAACAGGAAGCTGGAGAGGTGCTCAGTGATTAAGAGCACTTCCTGCTCTTCCAGAGGACCTGAGTTTGGTTCCCAGTGCCACATCAGATAGCTCACAATAGCCTGTAATGGCAGCTCCATGGGATCTCACACCCTCCTCTGAGCTCAGAGGACACCTGCATTCATGCACAATGACCCCACGACACATACATATACACCTAAATTACAGGGCTAGAGAAATGGCTTAACAGTTATAATCATGTCAGTACAATCAGTTCAATTCCCAACACCCATGTCAGACAGCTTCAGGGAAATCTGATGCCTCTGGCTCCCACAAGCACCTGGACAATATCCCCTTTTTCCCAATGCACATAATTAAAAACAAAAATAAAACCCTAAAAAAACAAAAGAATGGCTGGTGAGATAGCTCAGTTGGCAAAAAGCACTTGGGAAACAGAAACAGGCAGAGATCTACCAGGCCAGCCTGGATCTGCATAGTGAGTTCCAGGCCAGACAAGGCCATGAAGTGAGATCATACCTCAAAATCAATCAACAACAAACACAAAGAGGAGCTCCCACCTGTGATAGAAGCAGCACAGAGAACACAGACCTGCAAGAAAGCCCACTGGATTCCTCCTCCTCGTTCAATCAGAGAACTGCTAAACGGTAAATGCTATACTCCTCCTTTTTTACTTTGATTTTTTGCTCGGCTGAACTTCTTTTCATGTCTTCTGACTGGTGAATTGCCTGTGCATAACTTTCAATGACTTTTTTTTTTTTTTTTGCATTTTCAAAAATATTTGTGCTGGCTGGGTTTTTATTTATTTATTTATTTATTTATTTATTTATTTATTTATTTTGTTTGTTCTCTGACACAAACTACAGTCATCTTGGACAAGAAAACCTCAGTTTAGAAAATGCTTCCATCAAAATGGCCTATATGCTAGGTGGTGGGGTTATTTTCATGATTAAAGATTGATTTTTTTTTAAACCAGAGTATTTCATTACTTGATTTATCAAAGATCCTGACTTAGGGCACTAACCTAATGCCCACTGGATATGCAACAAGCAAATGTTTCCATTCAGCCAGGCAGTGGTGGCGCATGCCTTTAATCCCGGCACTTGGGAGGCAGAGGCATGCAGACCTCTGTGAGTTTGAGGCCAGCCTGGTTTACAAAGCTATACAGAGAAACCCTGTCTCAAAAAAAAAAAAAAGTTTCCATTCATCATCCAATCAAATATTTTGCTTATTTTAAGCTTTTAGTTTACTGGTGATTATTTGGGGTAGGGAGGGAAACTGGGGTACATTATTTTCTTTTCCAATGAATTAAGTAGTGTTGATTTGAACAACCATGATGTTGATCAGGCCCTAGGCTTTAAAATACACTCAGGCCTGTTTCTACACTTTACATTCTAGTTTGTGACTTAGCAGTGGCAAGGCTGCTTCTTACAGCTTTCTGGCACTGGCACAACAGGTCTCCCTCTATTCCACTGCCTCAAGTCCTACACTTCCTTTTCCCTTCATGTTTTTTTCTCCATTGGCTGTCAGCTAGAACAAGGCATGATGGGATATGAGAAAGGGAATACAGCATTAAACAGATCCAGGACATCTGGGAGTCTGGACTTCACCTTGAGCTTCTCGGAGTATCGCAAGACAGAAACACAAATGAAGAGTTACATGTTATTTCGGTGTAAGAAACAGACAAGAGGAAGTCAGGGCTAACTGTAAGGAGACTGACTCATGGATTCAATAATCTAGGCAAAAGACCTTACTCTAAGAGTAAGTGAAGACAAAAATAAGTGAACAGAGGCCAGAGAATGCAGGAATGATAGGATGCAGTGAGGAACAAGATTTAGGAGTGGGTAGAGGAGACCCAGGGGTTTCAATGCAGGACTACATGCTGACCCTACTATGTTCACCATGCTAAGGCACTGAGGAAAAAAGATTGAAGTTAGTTCAATTTCAACTGCAGTATTAGATATGTAAATTACAGGCCAGGTGTGGCGGGCACACGCCTTTGATCCAGCACTCAGGAGACAGAGGTAGGTGGATCGCTGAGTTCTGTGATACACAGTGAGACACTGCCTCAAAGCAAATACGTAAATACATGTGAGTGACAAATGAATGAACCACTTTCAGCTACTTGCTAGCTCTTAGCTGAGTCAGGTAACTTCTCTGAGTTTGCTTTCCCCACCCAGCCTTTAAACGTCATTCTGCCTATGGAGTGCTTTTCTTTCCTGCAGATGGAGCCTTGTACTGGTTCCTACAAACTCTCACACTCTCTATAGCTTTCCACCTGCCTCAGGTATATACATACAAAACAACAGCCTCTCTCTTTGATCGCTGATACAGAAAATGTGGATACTGAATAAAGAGAATGGCTGATTTTATTTTCCCTCTGCGAACCGGGTAGTTTAAAACTTTTTATTTGGTCTACAGATATATAGGCTTCTTCTTAAAAAAGAATCTCAGCTGCACATGGTGGCACAGGCCTATAATCCAAGCACTTAGGAGGCTAAGGAATGAAGATTCCAAGTTCAAGGCTACCCTGGGAAATATAGTAAGACCCTGTCTCAAAACAAAAGAAATTCTTCATCAAAAAACAAATTATTGCCAAACATGGTGGCTCATGACTGTAATCCCAGCAGTTGTGAGACAGGAGGATCAGGAGTTCAAGGTCAACAGCAAGTTCCTATGCTACAAAAGATCCTGTCTCAAACAAAAAGAAGATCAGTGACAAAATTGGCATTGTAGAGTAGGAGAAAGTGTCAGTTGCCAGAGGAAAATGGCAATATATTGGGTATGGTATAGTTAAAGCACTTACCCCTTAGAACACAAAACAGAAAATCCAGTATGCATGATTTTGTATCTTTTTTTTTCTCGTTCATTACTGCTTTGAGGCTTCACGTTTAAATGGGAGTCATGTAAACTCTACTTAGTAACATGACCACTCATTAGACTCCTCAAAGTCTACTGTTAGGGGATATTCCTTTACACTGTGAAGGTATGTCACTGTGATTGGTAACATAAGAAGCTAAACGACCAAGAGCTAGGCAGGATTTTGGGGGCAGAGAGAATGCTAAGGAGAAGAAAGAGAAGCCAGACAGAAGCAGAAGAAGTCAGACACACAAATGGGACAGAGGTAAAGTGGTGGCTATGTGGTGGAACATAAATTAATAAAAAATATGGGTTAGTTTAAGTTATAAGAGCTAGTTAGGAACAAACCTAAGCTATTGGCTGAGCTTTCATAATTAATAAGAAGTCTCCATGTCGTTTATTTGGAAGCTGGCTGGCGGGATAGAGAACAACGAGCTATAGTCTGCCTGAGATGCATGGGCAGCTACTATCCATCACACCTCTTAAAAATCATTGTATGCATAGAGGTCAGAGTCAACACTTCAATTGTTTTCCACACTACAGTTTGAGTCAGGGGCTCTCACTGAACCTGGCACTCACTAATGTGGCTAGACTTCTAGTCAGCAAGCCTCAGGGAGTCTTCTGTCTGGTCAGTGCTGGGATTACAGGCACACCCAGCCTTACATGTAGCTGCTGGGGCCATGAACTCAGGGCCTCATGTTTGCATGGTAGGCACTTTCCCGACAGACAACTCACACTTATCCTGCTTTAACTGGTATCAGCTATAGCCAAAAAACATTTGCTTGCAAGTTTTCCCTGGGGTCTAGAGGGCTTTTTTTAGCAGGGACAGAATTACCTGAGTTTCAGTTGTGATTGCACCTCTCCAAACGCCAACTGCAGCAGTTCATTGTAACAGGCCATGATGTTGGGGTTTTCGATATACCTCTATAAACAGAAAGGGGAGCTTTGTAGATAAAGAAGAACCTTTGATGTATGCCACAAAAGAAATGCTAAACAAACCTTTCAATTTGGCTACTGAAATTTAAAAACTACTTTGTAATCATTAATGTACAACAGAAGATGAGAGATGAAATTTAAGTGTACCAAATTACCTTTAAAAATAGAAATACTAAGGTTCTCTGCTCATCTCCACGTCACTTATAAAACCAAAGTCTTGTTTATATTGGATTTTCAAGTAGTTTCTGAAATAATGTTTTGTCCTCAAAGCCAACAAGCTCCTTGAACATAAAGCACACTTGCCCTTCTACTCACACCTGTGGCTCAAAGGGGGAACTCCTACTTGGGACACATTGTTCACTAACTGCTAAAGAGGCTGACTGCAAAGCAAGGAACCTGGAGAAGACATGGGTTTGCCCAGCGCCTCTTGCTGCTGTGAACACTAAGTATTCTATATGACAATCTTTACATCATGGAATGTCTCACAAAAAAAGCAAGTAGCATAGTTACAAGAAAATGGACCCATTCTACCATAGAATAATAAATTTCATGATGGCATCTTAGAAGCCACTATATTGTCACATACAGTAGTATTAGTCTCAGGGTAGCTGCAGAGATTGCACAACTCTCTTATATAAAATGACATAGTATTTACATATAAATGATGTTATCTCCCCGTATACTTTAGTGACTTCTAGAATACTTTTACTACCAAATACAGATAAATACTTTATAAACAGGTATTATACTGTATTACATTGGGAACAACAACAAGAAAATGTTGAATGTCCTTTCCTGAATAATAGGGGTCTATAATAGGAAGAGTCTATTGATACAGAACTGACTATGGGGGACTCATGGCTAGAGGCCCAACTGTAGCTTCATTCTGACAGAAAACACTTCTAAACACCGACTCACCCCAGTTTCTGAGAAGAGTTCTTTGCTCTTACCTGCACAATAAATGTATAGCAACTCTGACTGAGAAGGCTGAGGCCTAAGTGGCTGAGCCTTGGAAGACCACTATCTATCTAACCCAGCCAGACCAATATGGGACATGGGCTGCTTGAGGAGGCCCCTCTACTACCAAAGTGATGGTAGGTGCCCATGATCAGTGTCTTGTCTGAGTGACAAGCAATCTGGGTTCCTATGGACATGCCAGATTCAAGCTTTAAAAGCTGTATGGTCCAATGAGACACTCTTCCTGAGCTTACCTCCTCACTTATAAACAAGGAAAGTAATGCTGCTCCTACCCATCCACTACAGACAGCCATAAGGACAGAGGTGGAAGAAGAAGCATTCTATCTACAAAATGTTATAGGAATGAGAAGATCAGGTAAGTGGGGCCTAGAGAATTGGCTTCATGGTTAAGAGCACTGGCTGAGCTTCCAGAGGATCCAATTTTATTTCCCGACAACTATATGGTAGCTAACAAACACCTCTAAGTCTAGTTCTAGGGGAATCTGACACCCCCCTTCTGCTCTGCTGGTACCAAGTATGCATATGGTTGCACAGACACACATGCAGGCAAAACACCCATAACACATAGATTTAAAAAATGTTTAAAAAGCAAAGCAAAGCTGGTACACCCCGGCAGGGAAGAGACAAGGACTGAGGCCAGAGGCACGATGGGTCTGCATGCTTCCAGGCCCTTCTCACTTGGAGGTTTGAGATGACTTTCTTTCTAGCTCTCACCTCCATCTTCCCATAGTAGCCAGGACTCCAGGAAGTACTCATGATGGCTGCACATACATAGAGGTGCTACTACTGACTAGCCAGGGGCAGCTAGGAGTTATTTCTGAGTACAAAGCTTATGACACTCCATCAGATGGGGTAGAGGTCCTGAGACAGACAAACTGCAAGTGAGATCTTGGGATAAAGAGTCATTTCTGAGTACAAAGCTTATGACACTCCATCAGATGGGGTGGAGGTCCTGAGACAGACAAACTGCAAGTGAGATCTTGGGATAAAGAGTCATGTCTATTTGTCCATGTCAATAAACAGCCTCCCATGTAGCTAGATTTTTCAATGGATAAAAATTTTACATAACTACCAAATTATTTTTGCCCTCAATGTGCTAGGATTACAGTGTGCACCCCTATATCCCTATATTCCCTCAAATGCCTTTTGATTTTGTTTGTGTTTCAGTGTTAAGGATCAAACCAGGGTCTTCTACATCCTAAGCAAGTATTCTTCTACTTAACTATGTCCCTGACCCTGTGGCCTCATCTACAATCAGCTGACTAACATCCTGAGAGACCTTTTGGTCTTAGAGAAGCCAACAAACTAAAGGTAGGAAGCAGAGGGAGGAGGAGCCAGTGCCTGGGTTTCCTCATCTCCAGAATCACTGAGCTGACTTCAGAAATTTCAAGTACACACGAAATCATTGTAAAAACACATTCTCTAATAAAACTGGTAAATGAGTGTATCAGTACAGGACATTTTATTATATTTGGATGGCTTTGGGCAGGCATAGTTTTGAGACTAAGGATATGAGGTATTACAGATTAGCAGCTTATGAAGTCAAAACAAACTAACACAGAACAGGAACATTTTTTTTTCTTCAAAATAATTAAAACATTTTTTCCGGGTGCCAAATCATGGTAAAAAATTTCTCACACTGAATTATACTTGTACAACTAAAAAGTAGGTACATACCCTTGTGAAGCCAGCAGCAAGGAAGGGCATTAAAGACACCTCCTCTTTGTCCCCCCTTCAAAGAAGATGGTAAGGGTTAGGTCGTATTCACTAACTTACATAATCTTCAATGGTCACATAGCAAGTACCTTCAAGTTAATTAGTGAATGCATATGAAATTGACAAGCCTTTCCTGTCTCAATATCATCTTGAGCCTTCTGGCAGGATATTATTATAATTTGTTTGGGGGAATAGGGGCTTGCTGTGTTACTTAGGCTGGCCTCAAACTCCTAGGCTCAAGCCTTCAATTCTTTTTCCTGGACCTCCTGAGTACTGGATTATAGGCACCTGGCACTGCACCAGGCATTTTAATACTTACTTTAATTTAATAATTACTTTAAAATAATAAATATATATTATATTAACAACTGAATAGTGTCCAGGCATCTGCTTAATATATAAAAGTACATATTATATCTATACTTATATATAGTATATATATATATGTACTTATATATATACTATATATATTTAAACTATTAAGTTCTCTTATCTTCCACTTCTAGAAGATTCAATGGCAGAGAGGCATTTCTGTCTTTACTGATATAAACAGCATTTATTTAATATTGCTCTACTCCTTGTATGTTCTCTCCTCCTTGCTCTAACTTGAGAAGATGCCCTGCAATTGTATGCCACTCAGCTCCTTACAGATACCCAAACTAAAGGCCCTAGGAAGACACATCTGAAAAACTTCACCCTAAGAGATTGGGAATATCTTATAGTTTGCCTGTAAAGGGCAGTTCAAAGTCAGAACAGTAAACCTGAGAGCAGAGCTCCTTCCCTGGAGTCAAGCAAAGAAAAACTAAAATGCTAAGGAGTAAAGAAGGCCAGACTTCAAAGGGTTCTCCAGTCATAAGCAAGCCCTTATTTTATCATATGTTAATAACATTACATTGACACCCGAATTCCAACATTAAAAAAAAAGTTTACCTTCGGACTACACCAACAATAACTGTGTTTTCTGAGAGTTTTGATGACCTGACAGACCTTTAAAAAACAAAAATTTAAATAAATATAAAAATAATTCTTAAAAATAAATATACTTTCATAGCTTTAGTTGTACAGTTACAACTGGGAGGGAAATGGGAGGGAAAGAGCTCCCTTCATACTCTGGACTCACCTTGGCTACTGGATATTCCCTTGGTGATAAACTCCTAATTAGTGGACTATTACAACCATGACAGTTATCATGTGCAAACGAAACAGCTAGGGTGACATACTTTATGCATTTACCCAAGTTAGTTGTGGGGGGCAATCTCCCCGACACTGCGCTTATGTGAAAGGGGCCACAATCACTTGTCTCTTCCTGTGGAAGGAAATGCAAATGTTTGTGCATCTCCACAGGCTCCTACCTATGTAGACTGTGGGGACTGGGACAACCAGGAGCCAGTTTGTCACTGTATTTTTAAGCAGCACAAAGAATAAAGAATTCTGAGATAAACTGTAGGCAAAAATCACACTACCACAAAACTAAGACTAGGAAATACAAGATATTTTATCAGTCACAATGAAGAGTCATCACCTGTGATCAAAGATTAAGGTGGTGGTTTGGTGGAGAAATGTAGAAGACACTGCTCCATTGGTCATACCCAAGGAGTGTGAGGCTTTCCACCCAACCAGGAACACAACCCTTAGGGGAAGCAGCTATATGGACCATGCATGAGTGATGACAATATGGCCAAGATATCAGAGGGCAGACATACATGAGATGCAGAGTAGTAGAGACAGGAAAGGAACACTCTGCTGGAGGCATACAACAACTCTGAACTCAGCTTCCACGAGAAGGTGCAGCTGTCTAAGAAGCAGCAGCCACTGGAGGAAGAGGGGCTGTAGATGGAAGTCGTAGAGGGGGCATTATATAGACTGTCCTAGTCTATACAAGGGAGAACTATGCTAGTAGCCTTTTGGAGGTCCAGAGACTAGCCAAGGCTGAATACATGACTTAAGCTCTATTAGAAAAATAAATAAATAAATAAATAAATAAATAGAGCCACTTCTGCAACACAGAACACAAAAGTGATTTAAGTGGCTACTTCCTAATTCCCCCAGAGATGGTACATAACACAACTACTATGGATGTCCATGGGGGTACCTTGGTCCTGGCAGACTTTTCTGTAAAGAGCCAGAGAGTAACTATTTTAAGACTTGTAGGCCTTAAGTATCCATGTGGATTCTGTCCCAATTACCTACTGGTGATGATTCACTTTAATTGTCAACTTGACACAACCCATAATATCCTGGAAACAGAGTCTCACTGAGGAATTGTCGGCATTGTGTTGGCCTACAGACATGTCTGTAGGGGATTGTCTTAATTAAGTTACCTGATGTGGAAAATCCAGCCCACTGTGAGTAGCACCATTCCCTAGGCAGGTAGTCCTGAACTGTGTTAAGAGTGGAGAAACTGTGCTGAGCACAATGCAAGCAAGTGAGCATGCATGTGTGCACACATTTCTCTTGGTTTCTGACTGGGGATGTAATGTATCTAGCTGTCTCAGGTTCCTATCAGACCCTAACATGGGATTGTGAACTAAAATAAACCTTTCTCCTCTAAGTCACTATTTGTCAGGATATTTTATCACAGCAACAAAAATGAAACCAAAACACCATCACTACACTACACTAACTCTTGGAGCATGAATGTGGTCACAGAATGGGCAAAACCTTTATCCTTTGCTCACCCTTACTTACCTTGGGGCATGCAGACTGTAGGTTCCTGTGGCTCTGAGGCTGAGAAAGGTTTAGGGTCTAATGATAGACACAGAGTGGTCCTCAAGGAGAGCTGCACATGAATGTAAAGAAGCTCCAGGGCCCAGCTAATCTCTCTCATGGACCCATAGCTCACACCCCCTCCCCATCTTTCTAACATTCCTGTTTTCCCAGTGTCCATTGCACTCCTCCAGCTTTCACCTGCCCTCTTCCCCATAGGAGCCAATCCAAAGGCCCTGCAGAGCTCTACTGGAAAAAAACTTCCCAAACAGGGCTTGCTGGCTAGGTGTTCATCTCTGGTCACCAGGCCCAGAGAAGGCCAGACTCAATTTCTGGAGATAAATGCCAGGGGAGGATCACTCAGGCCTAGAAAGGTTATCAGTACAGCAGACCCTCATCTGCACATGCTGAGGAAGGAGCATGGACTCATCAATGCTGTTCCTGTAACTTTAGGGGCACTGCATCTGTTCTTACATGTTTCCATCACATCTTTCATCATAAAAGGGATGGAGAATGAAGAAGCGGGGGGGGGGGGGGGGGGGCCTTTTTTCCACCCCACCCCCAAAGTTCTTAGCATTTTAGCGGTAATATAGTGGCAAGCAGGCAACCATGAGTGATTATCAGGGAGGAGCTCTGGACAACCTGCCCATTACTGGAGGAAACAAACAAGGGCACTGTGTCAAGGAGGAAGCAGAAGGGAGGACCATGTCCACCTAGCAACAAGTCCACTAAAGCAGTGCTAAACTCTACATAAAGACAGATGTAAGCATACACTTGACTTTCTCTAATAAAAATGAACAACTGGCTAGAAATAGAAATGTCAGGGACAGAACCTGGCATAAGAAACAATAGCCTTAAAAACTAATACTCTTGCTTTAGAATTCATGGAACTAGGAAAGAAATGACTTGCCACAGTTAAATTGTACATATGGACATTAAGTAGGCAGATTTTAAAGTCATGTGACTATAAAGAACTGTACTACCTTTGACTGCACATGATAGAAAACCCCAAAGAACTGTGGTGTGTGTGTCTGTGTGTGTCTTTGTGTCTGTGTGTGTCTGTGTGCATACATACATACATACATACATACATACATACATACATACAAACATACATACATACATTCCTGCTAGGCATGGTGGCTCACATCTTAATCCAAGCATAAGGCAGAAGAGCAGAGGGGCAGAGGCAGGTGAATCTCTTTGAGTTCAAGGCCAGCTTAGTCTACATAGCAAGTTCCAGTGTAGCCAGAGCTATAGAGAGAGATTCTGCATCCAATATGTGTGTGTGTGTATGTATGTGTACATATATATATATATATATATTATGTGTACATTATATATATATATATGTATATATTATTCCTGTCACACATGAAAGATATGCGTATGTATGTGTACATATATATATATATTATGTGTACATTATATATATATATATATATATATATATATATGTATATATTATTCCTGTCACACATGAAAGATATGCAGAGGGACAATTCAGAACTGCCATGGCACTCTGCAGGACCAGGAACATGAATTTTTCATTGTGTATTTCCCTATTATCTAAACAAGATTTCTTCTTTATGGTCTAAGATTATCTGAATATTAGCTATAATGTACACATTCTAGACATGAGGAAAAACAGCACGCTCCCTCACATCAAGGATACTTTCCAGAAAATGCATAATTTCCAATGGATAGCTGCAAGAAAAGCTAAAGAATGCAATACACTTTTTAGGTGGCTACATGTCCTGCAGAGGATTTATTAGGTAAAGAACCAGAAATGTGTAGCAGAGAAACAACCAGTCTCTAGTCACATGAGACAACTCCAAATGATTCTGACAAGGGCCTCAGCATTAACACTGAAAAAAGATTGCCTGGTGAAGGCTCACTGTGAGAACATAACAGAGCCCTGTAAAGAGTTGCACGTGGGTCTGTTCTACCTTGCTATGCCCTCTGCCATGGAGTGAGGTTCAAATTAAAAAGAAGAGAGTACAATGGTAAAAAGGATCTTCAGACCAAGGTGAATCAAGAGATTATATGAATGTGCCTTAAACTCGAAGTTCTCTTTTTCTGAGAGGAGGAACATGTGTCTATATTTTTAGGGTGTGTGCAGGCCCAGGCTGAGGTTGGGAGTCATTCTCAATCGCTCCTCACCTTATTCACTGAGACAAGGTCTCTCCATTGAACCTGAAGCTCACTGTTTCAGGTCACTTAGATAACCAGTTTGTTCAAAGACCTCATCTCTGCCCTCTGAGGCTGAAACTCCAGCTGGGCCATGCACACCTGGCATTTACATGGGTTCTGGGGACCTGAACTCTGGTTCTCACGCTTGTACAGTAAGCTCTGTACCTGCTGAGCCAGTTCCCCATGCTAAGTTCAGTCTTGCTTCTGTATGTATGTGGATTTTAATTCTGCTAGAGCATGTCTGGTTTCTACCCAGGGCTTTCCTCTCTCTCCCTTCCATTATACAGCTGTGCTTCTATGGCACCAAGGAGTATTTCTTACCTCTCCTAAAATGTTCTGCAGTTTCTCACAAAAGAATATTCAGAGCTAGGGAGACGGCTCAGTTGGCAAAGGGCTAGCCTCAAAAAGAAAAAAAAAAATAGCTGAGCTCAGATCTTCAGCACCCATGTAAAAGCCAGGAGTGCATGTCTCTTGATTAGTCCTTATAGTGTAGCAGAGACAGAGGCTCACTATGTAGCTTAGACTGGCCTCAAAACTGATTGTCTGCCTCCATCTTCTAAGTAGAGGATTAGAGGTATATGCTACCATGCCCAGAGTATCAGTGTCTTAACTACCCAGAGGAGAGTAAATGACTAGCTCAAAACACTAGGCCTTTGTATCTGGCTCTTATCTGCTGTCCCAGCCTCCCTTGAGCCACACACTCAGCTGTTGGACCAACACCCATGGACAGTGAGCAGAGAAGCCTAGACACCCTGCTGCTCCTACTTATGCTGCCCTCTCTCTGCCTTTAATCTTTCCAAAACTTCTGCCCATCCCTCACTATTCAACTCAAATATCTTCTCAGAAGACCTCCTCTCCTTATAAATCTCTCCTTCCAAGTTGACCTGCCTGCCTCTGCATGGCCTGACTATGTGACCTCCACAGTTTATGTGTTGCCAATGTGATAGCACCAAGAAGTAGGGCCTTAAGAACTTAGGCCCTGCAGGCTGCTCTCCAGTGATTGAGATTAAAGCCTTTATAAGGAGATTTCACAAAGCCATCTGTCGTTACAGAGGATGCAGCCAGATAAATGAACCTGCCAGCACCTTCAGCTTGGTTTTCTCAGTCACAAGAACTATGAGAAAATTAATTTTTTCTTCGTTGCTGTTGTTCATACTTATTTTTTCTTTATTATTTATGTATACACATGTGTATCTTGTGAGTATTGACATGTATGTGTGGGTGACAGTAGAGGCCAGAAGAGGGATTGGGATCCCCAACCCATTCCCCAGCTGAAGTTATAGGTAGCCATCTGGGTACAGTGGTATGCACCTTCAGTCTCAGCACTTGGAAGGCAGAGACAAGCGGATCAATGTGAGCTCAAGGCTACTTCGTTAATTCAAATTCAGGATGGTCTGCATATTGAGTTCCAGGACAGCCAGAGCTACAAAGTGAGACACAGCCACCCCCTCCCCCAAAAAGTTCCAGGCAGTTGTGAGCCATCTGACATGGGTACTGGTACTGAGAATTGGATTCAGATCCCCTGGAAGAGCAGCAGGCAATCTTAGCCACTGAGCCATCTTTCCAGCCCCCTAATTTTTGTTCTTTATAAATTACCTAGTCTCAAGCTTTATGTTACATGAAACAAAGAAATTCTATGTATTAGTCGCTTTTCTTGTGCTATGACCAATTAGCAATTTAAGTGGTTGCTGACAAGCAGCAACTTAAAGGAAAAGAGGTTTATTTTTGCTTATGGTTCAGAAGATACATACAGTTCACCATGGTGGGGAAGGCCAGTGGCAGGAGCAGCTCACAGCAGTGGCAAAGGGGGCTTACTCACATCTCAGCAGATCAGGAACATAGAGAGTAAGAGTTCTAGAGCTCGGTGGTACTTACCTTTCTCTCTGTTTCTTTAGTCCAGGACCCAGATTCATTGTGTGTCCTACATCTCTAGAAATGCCCAAACTGACATTCACAGAAGTATCTCACTAATGCCTTCAGCATGTCTTAATCTGGTCAGGCTGACAATCTGAAGTTAACCATCGCACTCTACAACTAAAGCATTGTCCTTGGAGGCAAGTGGCATGTTTTGTTCATTCATACTGCTATAGTACCACATGTAGTGCCTAAAACTGAGACTTGCAAAATTAAGGCTCTGAAACAGGAGGATTTGGAAATGCAATAGGCAAAACATTTGGCCTTCAAGAAGGTATTTCACAGGAGTACAAGGAGTTCTAAATGTCCAGTAAAGAGCTACAGGTGAATGATAGTAATTTGGATAGATCAGCAATTGATGAAAAGCTTTTCACAGGCTGCTATTGTTTAGGTATCCCCTAAAAGGACGACAAAGGGAAGAACAGTGCTGGGTCGGGGCTAAGGTCTCATGGGCTGCACAGGTCTATTGAGAGCAAGGAAAGTCAATTAAGGAATGAGATTCTGAAGAAATTTCTTGATGAAACAGTTCACACTGGGTAGAAGCCTCTGTAGAAATGATCTTAAAAGACAAACCAGCTAAAGGCTGAGGCCAAGATGGAGCTGACCTGAGAAACAATCAAGACCTACTCCTGCCTCTAGGAAACTCATGAGGGGACACAAAGACCTACCCTGCCCCAAGCTATCTCCCCACAAGATGAAGATGAAGTGGTAGGAAGGAGTCAACAAGAAAGACCTGAGATCCAGGGTCTACCAGGAAGAGTATCAGGAACCATATTTGTAAAGGTCTGCTCTTCACTGGCCAGCCAAGCCTCCTGTGTACTGTTTAATTCTGGAGCCACACAAGAGCTACCAGTTAGTTAGGAAGAGTGTCAGTTCTTAGAGGGCTTGTCATACAAGTGTGAGGAACCAGGTTTGAATCTCCACTACCCAAGTAAAATCCTGGCATTGAAGCATGCATCCATGAGCCCAGGGCTTGGGGAAGTTGCCAACAGACAGATTCCTAGAACTTATTGGCCTGCCAACCTAGATGAAAAGCTGAAATTCAGATCCAGGGAGAGATCCTGTCTCAAAACAAACAAACAAACCCACCCTGCAGAGTGGCTGGAAAGGACACCTATATTGGCCTCTGGGCTTCACATGTGGGCACACACCCACATGAAGACACAGAGAGCTCTTTAAAAACAGGCTAGGAAATTCTAGTCATTCTTGTTTCAGTAATATGCAAATGATAATTGGGATGAATTAAATGTTGGGTTTCATCTTACTCATAATGGTTGTTATTATAATTTCTTACTATTGTTTTTTTATTTTCATTATTTTTTTTGTGGTATTTGAGAACAAGCCCAGGGCATTGTGCATGCTAGACAATCTCTCTCTTCTTTTTTCTTCTTTCTTTTTTTTTTTTTTTTTTGGTTTTTCAAGACAGGGTTTCTCTGTGTAGCTTTGGAGCCTATCCTGGCACTTGCTCTGGAGACCAGGCTGGCCTCGAACTCACAGAGATCCACCTGCCTCTTCCTCTGCCTCCCAATTAATCCTAGTGCTAGGATTAAAGGCGTGCGCCACCAACACCCGGCGACAATCTCTTACTGTTTTAAATAAAGCAAGTAAGACAAACAAGAAATAAAGATTAGTACTAGAAACAAATGAGGTTAAAATGCCTTTTCTTTGCACATAAGGAAATTGAAATTGAATTTAACTTAAATTAAATTCATTAAATTCTGTCTACAGGCTGCATTTCTTGTTACAAGGGCCAATGGGACTCTTTAGGCTGGGGCTTGGGCTTACCTGCACAGTGCTTCTGCATCCAGCTGTCGGGGATTTCTATGGTCTATGATGATGATGTCATGGAGTTTGTCCTGGAAACAGGTAAGGACAGCCTGCATCTCCTTGATGACTGTGCACTTAAACCCAGCCTTTTCACATGCTCTGGAGAATCCATTACACTGGCTATCTTCTTTGGTAAACACTAAAAGTACCTGGACCAAAGGAGGACAAACACCATTTTTTAAAACTTTGTTATAACTGTCATTTTTAAATAAGCCACAGAAAATTCTCAAATGCTTAGGTGAAGACACAAGATGTGAATGTAACATCCGTAAATACACATTTTTTTCTTACATATAACTCAGGGATATTAGCATTCGTTGTCCACGAGTCATTGCTACTTTCTAGCCTGGAAGTCCAAGTGCTTGGAACATATGCTAGTAAATACACATTTTTTTTCTTACATATAACTCAGGGATATTAGCATTCGTTGTCCACAAGTCATTGCTACTTTCTAGCCTGGAAGTCCAAGTGCTTGGAACATATGCTTACTTCTTTTGATGATAACCCCATTGATAGGATTCAATAAGACTCAACAGAACATTTTATCTTAAAATAAAATCAAAACACACAAATGTTGATGTTTGCAAACCGACAGTTAACTAATATGACAAATGCTGGTATTTTAGCGAAATGCCCCAGATAGCAAATGCTAGCACTTAGTGAGACTGTTGAGACACATAACCCTTAAATGATATACTTGACATGCATTGACTCAAATTTTATGTAATGCCAACAAGTTAAAAAGTCATTCTGAATATGAGGGAGAAGATTTGAAGACTACAATATTGTATTTTAAAGCCTGCCGGGTAAGTGACATGGGCACAGAGCCCAGACAATGTAGGTAGCATCTATGCCAATGCCAGGCTAGTTGTTTTGTTGTCTGGCCTGTACCACATAAATCCCAGACCTGCTGCCTCCTCCCTATCCAACCAGGCCTCCCAGCCAAATCAAGTTCAAAACACCTCTGCTTCATCCCTTCAGAGCTAGACTCAAGAAACTACAGTGTCTGTGTGGTAATGAGCAGTCTGATAGACAGAGGTTGACTACAAAACTGAAAGGAATCCTTTATCTCCTTGAAAGTTTGCCCAACTGTTCAAATACCACAAATGCAAAGAATCAAGAACACACACCTTTCTCTGCCTCATTCACAAGGTTAAAATACAGTAGTAAACATAGTTCATGTGCAGGAAGCTTCAAACAATTTGGCTACATTTTATCACTTATTAAAGATTTGTTTATTTTTTATTTTATGGGTACAGGTGTTTTGCCTGCATGTATGTATGTGTACCACATGTGTAAAGTAAAGTTCCCACGAGTTCCAGAAGACAGTGTCAGATCCCTTGGCACTAGAGTTACAGACCGTTGTAAGCTACCAGGTGTCTACTTGGAACACAATCTAGGTCCTCTGTAAGAGCAACAGGTGCTCTTAACCACTAAGTCATCTCTGTAGCCCCCTGATACCAATATGGGCTACATGAAGCCTTGTCCCCAAAATAAAAAACAAACCTGGTATAATAAAATGGCTAAGTTTTTAACTTTTCATTTTGAAAAAATTCAAACTTACAGAGAAGTTGTGAATGACAATGCCTTAAAAATTCTTCCTCTAGATTAATCAGCCCTTAGCCTTTTAGCCTTTTACCACTTTGGTTTTGCTTCCTCTCAATGGATATACACATGTGACTGTATGCACAATTACATATACTCTCCATTATTGCAACCCTAAATTTTAACCTCAGCATGTTTTCATAAGGAAAGGTTATAACATTGTTACCAAGTCCAAGAAATTTAACCATGACCTAGTGCTAGTAGCTAAATAGAAAAACACATATCTTAAATGTATAGTTTTAAACTCTCTCCTCATTAAAGAAAATTAAAATATGTTCATTACAGCACAGTACCTGAAGTTGGTCTTGATGAAATCTCATTGGGCCAAATTCTACATCAGTTACTGATACCTGTAAGAAAGAGATTTTGAAAAAGTAAAATATGTACCCCCCAAATTACATAAATATTAGATAAGTAAGAGGAATTATAATCACACACTTTAAACACCCAGGAGAGGTGAGACTAAGAAAGAAGAATGGAAATGTGTTGATCTAAGGGTGACTGTCTGTTGCTAGCTTTGTGTAACTCTAGGAGGGTTTGTTACTCATCCTTCCTCGGCCACAGTTTCTCATTTGCTACAAAGATCAACTAAGATTATAATACAAAGATCCTCTGAAGAGGAGATACTAAATAAACACTGGAAGTCCCTGTAGATTATCCCCACCTTTTCCTGATAGATAACAAAATCTTACATCCAAAATGACACATGAATAATGCAACTTAGCAGTCAGAACAATGGATGTATGTCAGAGAAACTTCTCTGAGAAATAGTTGACACTTCCTTTTACAGAGGAGCAACAGCCTTGGTTAACACATGCTTAACCCTAGGAAAAGCTGACACTAAACACTTGACACTAGTACACACAGCATCCAGGCTGGAACATAGTTCAGTTAGCAAAGTGTTTGTTGCAAAAAAAAAAAAAATGTGGACCTGAGATCTTCAGCAACTGCCTAAAAAGCTGGATGTGTCTGTGTGCATCTGTAATATCAGCACTGGGAAGATGGAGACAGGAAAATGCTGGGGCTCACTGGCCAGCTAGTTTAGCAGAATCAATGCACTCTAGGTACACTGAGAACTACTACTTCAAAAAATAAGGTCGAGGACTGGCGAGATAGGTCAGCAGGTGATGTCACTTGCCATGTAATCCTGAAAGCCTAAGTGTGATCACTGAGCACATAAAGGTAGTCCTAACCTCTTCATGTGATGTGTGATGGCATTCATTCTCTCTCTCTCTCTCTCTCTCTCTCTCTCTCTCTCTCTCTCTCTCTCTCTCTGCCTCTCACGAAATATATATATATTTATATATATTTACATATATATATATTCATTCTATATTTGACTTCTGTTCTGAAAAAAGACAAAGCCTAGCCTAGAGAAAGAGACTGACTTTGGAATCTAAGATCCCATGTACTAAAGAGATTCCTAGCCCTGGGAGATGGTGTGGTTTCACATCTAGAATAACAACCCCAGAACTAGATACTTTCTATAAAGTATCTCCTGCTAATTAATCTCTTTTCTCAAGCTGTAAACTAAAACTAAGTACAAAAAATGTAATAAAATGTGCTTAGGTAACCCACATATAATTTTAACTAGGAAAAGTGATTGACTAGTTTTATATCAGTTTTATATAAGCCAGGTCATTTGGAAAGAGGGGCTCCCAGTTGAGAAATTCATTCTGTAGGCAAGTCTAAATTAGTAACTGAGAAGGCCCAGCCCATTGTGGTCCTTGCTGCTTTAAAAAAAAGCAGGCTAAGCAAGCCATGAGGGAGCAAGCCAGTAAACAGTGCTCTTCCATGGCTTCTCACTGTGGGACATCATTGTAAGGGTGCGCATAAATGGATGCTAAAGCCAAGATTTTTTTTTACAAGAAAATATGGTTCTGCACAACCTAAATCGCAGAAGTGAAAAGTAGCAGGAAGACCTCTACCTAAGCAATACTGTACTGGGAATGAGTCTGAGACAGCCCTTGAGATACATGGGAAATGTGGTTCACTTCAGTCCATTTCCACTCTTAGTGTCAGCCTGCCACACCTAGCTCCATGCAAGTAGTGTGCACAGGTTCCCAGACCAATCCAAACATAAACATCAGGAAAGAGCATGGTCATGCAGGCAGGCCTCCTTCCTCCAAATCTCAGAAATTGGTGTTCCAATCACAACTGTTGCTTATTGTCACTGGCTTCTGACCAAGAAGCAGGTAGCAGTAAAAAGTGTTAAGGGGGAATTTATAGCCACAGGCGTTAACATTAAGAGTCACAATGGGGGCTAGAGAGGTGGCACAACAGTTAAGAGCACATACTACTCTTGCTGAATCTGGTTCCCAGAACCCATGTCAGGCAGCTCACAACTGCCTGTGACTCCAGCTCCAGGGGACCTGTTGTCTCTGGCTTCCATGGGCACACACACACACACACACACACACACACACACACACACACTTAAATTCCCACCCTAAATCAACCTCAAGGAGGAAATACAAAGTTTTATTTTAAAAATTTGGGCTTATGATAGTGGGAGCATGGGGGGAGAGAGGAGGGAGGTGGAAGGGGAGAGGAGGAGAAGGGGAGGGGGGAGGAGAACAAGAGAACTGAGTCACGGGAGGAATAGAGGAGGTCAAGAAAGGAGATGCCTTGATAGAGGGAGCCAGTACAGGTTTGGAGACAGGTCTGGCACAGGGGAAATGTTAGGGGATCCACAGGGATGACCCCAACTAAGAATCTAGGCAGTGGTAGAGGGGCTGCCTTTGATGCCCTTCCCTTATAATGAGATTGATGACTACGTTGGTTACCATTCCTAGAGCCTTCATCCAGTAGCTGTTCGAAGCAGAAACAGGCACCCACAGCTAAACACTGAGCCATACTCCCCAATCCAGTTGTGGAGAGGGAGGAGGGATGAGCAAAGGAGCCAAGACAATGCTGGAAAAACCTACAGAAACAGCTGACCTGACCTAGTAAGAGCACAGAGACCCTAGTCATAAAGCTGGGGAACCAGCATTGGACCCAACCAAGCCCTCTGAATGTGGCAGTCTATGGGACCTCTAACAGGGGAGCCAGTGTTCATCCCTAGAGCACAAATGGACTTTGAGAGCCCAATCCCTATGGAGGGGTACTATTGCAGCCCAGATACAGGAAGGAGGACCTGGGTCCTCCCCCAAATGATGTGACAGACTTTGATGATCCCCCGTGGAGGGCCTCACTATCCCTGGGGAGTGGGAGGGGTGGGTTTGGGGGGGTTGGGGGGAGCATAGGAGGATGGGAGGGAGAGGGAATGGGAATGATTATGTAAATAACAGTGCTTCTAAAATAATTTTTTAAAAAAATGTTAAAAAAAGAATCACAATAGATTTCAAATTATCAAATTAACTTTATAACTTAAGGAACTAGAAAAATAATAAACTAAACCAAAGCTTCCAAGAGAAAGGAAATAAAACATAGGGATAAATTGAAATGACAGAACAGACATTAGAGGAAATCAATAAAGCCAAAATGTGATTCTTAGGGAAAAAAAAACAAGTTGACGAACCTTTAGTTACATGAACAAATCAAAAGAGAGGAAAGACTTAAATTACTAAATCACAAATTAGAGTAGAGATGGTAACTAATCTTATGTCAATAGAAAAGGATTATGAAAGTATAATGAACAATTATGCATCTTATAAATTTGAGTAACCTGGATCTAATAGACACATTTCTAGAAACATAAAACCTAACTGAGATTAAATCTGAACAGATGGATGACCTCTATCATTTAAAGAATACCAATCTTCTTCAAAGTCTCCCATGCTAACTACAAAAGTAGTATCACCCTGACACCCAAACTAGTCAGAGACACAGAAAACTATACACCAATGTCCCTTAAGGACTGGATACAAACGTCCTCAACATACACTAGCAAACCCAACCCACAAGCATATTAAAATGGTTATACCTGGAGCTGGGGGACTCAGTGGGTACAGTGCTTGATGCACAAGCATGAGGACCTGAGTTTTATCCCAAGAATGAAGAAGAAGAAGGAGGAGGAGGAGGGAGGAGGAGGAGGAGGAGGAGGAGGAGGAAGAAGAAGAAGAAGAAGAAGAAGAAGAAGAAGAAGAAGAAGAAGAAGAAGAAGAAGAAGAAGAAGAAGAAGAAGAAGAAGAAACTGCAAATAGAGGCAGACAGGTGACTCCCTGGTGTGCACTGGGCTAGACAAACTGATGGCCTCTAGGCCAGTGACAGAGCCTACTTCATAAGATGTCAGTGGGTCAAGGCACTTAGCACACAAGTCTGGTGATCCGAGTCTGAGTCTCTGAACTCACATAAAAGTGGAAGGAGAAAGATGAGGTCTGCTTAACTACTCCACGAAGCAGTTCTCAGACAGTTGAATGTCTGCCACCACCCATGTATGCATGCCCACACACACAAATAGCAAATGAAAAGTGTAACAACAACAACAGAAAGAAAAAACTACAAAGGTGGAAAGTTCTGGAAGAATGACAATGAAGTTAACTTCTGGCTTTCACATGAATGCCCACACATGTGTACACACACACACACACACACACACACACACACACACAATGAAACACCATTAGCTAAGTGACTTTTTCCTAGGATATGAGGATGATTCAATGTATGAAAATCAGCAAATACAATGCACTACTAACAGAGTGGAGGAAAAACATCACATGATAATCTCAACTGATCAGAAAAAAATTGACAAAATTCTAAATAAACATCCTTTCAGGACAAAAAATGGTTAAAGAGGAGCAGAAGAGAGCTACCTAGACATAAAAAACTCACAGCAAACATACCCATTGGGGAAAGGATGGAAATGGTTCCTCTAAAGTTAGGAACAAGGGGAGAAGCCTGCTTCACCACTTTTAACACTGTCACTGGAGTTCTAGACAAAACAATTAGACATGGAAATAGATGAGCCATTCAAAGTAAAAACGGAATAAAGCTATCCTTACTCACAGATACAACCTTAATTTAATACAACCTTAAATGAAGAAAACCCTAAGAAAACTTCTAGGACTAATAAATGGATTCAGCAGGACACAAGCTACAGAAATCAAATCTATTACTACACTTAGTGATCTGAAGGGAATTTAAAAAGAATGCCCATGATAGAGTAACAAAAACAAATTATTCAGCTGAGGAAATGGCTCAGTCAGTAAAGTGCTATCTGTGCATGAATGAGGGCCAGAGTTTGGATCCCTGGCACCAACTGAAAGTTGGGCACAGTAGTGTGCGTGTTAATAACTCAAGTACTGGGTGGGGACAGAGAGACAAGTGTATCCTAGGGGCTCACTGGCCAGCCAGTTTAACTGAAATAGTGAGCTCCACGTTCAGGAAGACTGTGTCTTTAAA